TATGACTGCTGTGTTTATAAAAGAGAAGAGACACAGATACAGAGAAGATAGCCCTGTGATGCTGCAGCTGCAAACGAGGGAACACCTGGGGCCCCTAGAAGCTGGGAGAGACCGGAAAGATCTTCCCCTAGGGTCTTCGGCCCTGTTGACACGCTGAATCCGGGCTTCTGGCCTCCAGACTGTGGAAGAGACCAGAAAGGATCTTCCCCTAGAGTCTTTGGCCCTGTCGACACACTGAATTCCGGCTTCTGGCCTCCAGAACTGTGAGATAATAAATTTTGGTCGTTGTAAGCCACCCACTTTGTGGTACTTTGCTACAGAAGCCCCAGGAACTCAGACAGCCTCCATTTCTGAATCTGCACGGTGTATGCACTTTGTAAGCCTCACTGCTGATCGTCACAATATCCTGGGAAAGAGACTCACTCCCACTCCCAATAACTGACGAAGAACAGAAGCTCAGAGAAGCTAAGAAATTGGCCCCAAATAACTCCACTATAAAAGAGGGGGAACTGGCGTTCAAACAGGTCTGTCTCCATCTCAGCTGGGTCTCTGAAACATCGCCCTGCACGGTACCCCAAATTCCAACACCGCCCTCAGAATGACACTGCATTCATTTCCACCCCTGCCTCCATCAGGGCCCAGAAGAAATGTGACTTTTTCTTGGTGTCTTCCTCAAGCATGAGACCGTTTTGGAGCAAGTCTCCCGTCGGCCTCAGTCAGCCCAGCTCGTGGACTTTTTCTCGGCCGCTTTTCTCTAATTCCGGTGGTAATGAGCAGCCTAATAAAATTATGCTAAGTTATGTGCATAGAGAGAAGCATCTTACACTCTAATGATTGGCCCCCGTCTTTGAAAGAATTCCTGTGCAATTTCCAGGGTAATCAATTCACCTCCTTCTTTGGGCCTGATTAGCTGGTGGGGCCAATTTCAACCCCCCACCCCAAGCCCCACTCGAACCAACAGGGCTCTGGATGTCATTAGCTACTCCAATTGCCTTTAAAAAAAATCTGTTTCACATAAAAGGACAAATGAAAATGAGTATTTGCCCATCTTTAGTACACTAACTACATTCTTTTCCACAGCCTGTTCTCGTTACTATTTCTTTCTTCAGGAGGAATTTGAATTCGGCCTGGGCTCCTACAGTTCATGACTGCAAAAGGCTCTGTCTTCGAAATCTGACCCAAGTGGCCATATTCTGGAAATGTCGCAGCTTCGAAGAACATGACCCAGTTGATTGTTCTCTACCTAATCTCACCTCTCATTTCTACCTGGCTGGCTTATGCGGCCTGCTCTCCAGGGCTCGGGGGTGAACAGTCACCTCTGCCAGCTGCTCCTAAGGCGCAGGGCTCAACGGAGACCCTTCCTGCGATTTGATGAAGAAGTAAGAAGAAACTTTGTCCAAGGCCTGGCTTCTTCTCCCCTTCATTTAATAGCGTGGTTTACGTCAGTAAAAATGCGGCAGCAGTTCTGGGTGTGGGAGTGGGCTGATGTCCAGTGGGAGGGATCTCACGGAGCAAGACACTCACCTGAGCCTCCTCAGAGCCCTGACATGGAAATGAGAAGAGGCTGGGATGTGTCAGGGACGCAGGGTGGAAGGAAGGGAGTGGGTGGAATGGAGCCTCTCGGACACAGTTCAACCCGAGGGCTGGCTCTAATAAGTTCTGATCCAGAACTCCGTAACCTGGCCATCAAGGCCTGGAGGCCCTGCTATCTCCTCACCTCACCTCACCTCCTCCATGTTCCCAGTCTCAGCATTCCAGCTGCATGCCCCTCTTTGATCTCCTCCAACATACCCACCTTTCCTATCCCAGGGCCTTCGCACATCCTGTGTCCTGGACTCCAGATCTTTCCACAGCTCCCTCCTTCTCAACTCCAGTGTCACATCCCCAGAGGGCCCTTCTCAGAGCCCCATCACTTTCTCCAGGCTCTGACCCGGTCCTTAGCTTCCACCTAACCCATGCCCTACTCTGTCTTCAGAGAACTGATCTCTACCTGATACTAACTCCCCAGCCGCTCCTCAGAAGAAAAGACCTGGCAATCTTCTCCCGTATAGATTACAGCCTAGGAAACCCGATGGGGCAGTTCTACTCTGTCACATGAGGTGGCCAGGAGTCAGAATCGACTCGATGGCAATGTGTTATCCATTTGCTTATTGTCTCTCTGTCACGCACACTGTGAGGGCAGGGCTGCATCAGTCTTGTTCTTTGCTGGACCTCTAGCCCAAAGAACAGTGCCCAAAACACAGTAGGCACTCAGTAAATATTCAGAGAACGAACGAATGAATGAATGAAAATGTCAGCATATGCCATATCCCCTACCCCCTTTCTCTTTCTTCTGGATTCTGCGATCTTTCTGGAAGGAAATAAACAATATTCCTGAGTTTATCTGGACCCCATAAGAGAATAAGTGTTTTTGTCTGAACTCTCTTGAAGATGAACAGCAGAGACTCAGGACACGGAGTTCTCAGTGGAAGCCAGGAGAACCTGCCGGCTGAATCCGAAGGAAAGAGGCCTGGCCGGTCGGTCGTTGAGCAGAGGCTGTGGGGCCGATGACTTCACACATGACTCAGTCACCCCAAATTTCAGGGGGAATCCATTTCAAAATGAAAACCTCAACATGGAAAGCTGGGGGTAGCTTTGAATCAGCATTCTGGAGAGAAGGCAGGCTTTCTGAAAAGACCCCAGGTTGTAGCTAACAAATGGGGGGGGGGGGGGGGCGTGAGCAGAAAAGAAAGGGAGAAACCCCAGATCTGTGGATTTCTCTGGTCAGGTTTCGCATGAAAACTGATCTGGGATGCGTGATCCTCCAAAAATCCACCAGCCCCCAAAGGGCTTAAGTTACCCCTCCGACCACAGCCACATGGAGAATGAAATTAAATCCCATGGAAAGATTTGACTTTTTTAACATTATGCAATGTTTGGGTGAAAGGGGTGGGGGGGTATCAGGGGGAAAAAAAAAAAACTCATCTTTTTCCCAGAGTTTAGCAAAGCTATTTCTAGCTTTTAATGATACATTTCAGTTCATGGGTAGTTTTAAGAGCCGAGAAGGCGGGGACTGTTCTGTTATGTAACCCATTTAAAGTAGGAAATTAGCAAGTCCTGAATGAATTCTGTTACTGTGCTTGGCCTTCTGGAAAGTTTGGAGCCGCTACAGTGTTCTATTTTGAGGTGAGCAAATCCATCATTTATGGATCTCCTCGCAAATACCACAGGTTTCCTGTCAGCCTGAAAAGTCTCATGTAACAAAAACAGTTAAAAGGACTTGGGGTGCCGGAAAATTTCGTTTCAAAACTTAGGAGCCTGAATAACGAGGAGGGCAAGGCTTCTTGATGCCAATTATTCAAACATGCAAATAGCCCAGATCAAATAAATATTCATCTCACACACACACACCCGTCCCTTCCTCACCCGCTCAGGTTTTTTTTTTTTTTTTTAACTAAGTCCAGCAAAATATTCTGGTCAACAACATAAAAAGAAATGTCTGTTTCTGATGGAGTCATTGCCCATGAAATAAATTCTGAAGCTATGAAAGCAACATCTTGAAACTCAGGGCCTTTGGGTATGCTGGGCCTGACTGGAGTTTGAGAACAGGAAGCAGAAACGTCCTTCGAGCCTCAAGCTCCCCCTAGCGGTGTGAGTGGAGAAGTGTCTGCACATTCGTGGGATTTCACTGCCGGCAAATGCAGAGTACTAGGACTTCACAGGAGCCCTGGTGGGTCAGTGGTGAAGAGCTCGGCTGCTAACCAAAAGGCTGGCAGTTCAAATCCACCAGCTGCTCCTTGGAAACCCTATGGGGCAGTTCTACTCTGTCTTACAGGGTGGCTATGAGTCAGAATCGAGAACTTTACAAAGGAGTCCAAAGGTTAAGAGCTCAGCTACTAACTGGAAAGGCTGGTGGTTAAAACTCACCCCGCAGCTCTGCAGGAGAAACACCTGGCGATCTGCTCCTGTAAAGATCACAGCCTAGAAACCCTAGGGGCAGTTTTACTCTGTCACATGGGGTCGCTATGAGTCAGGATCGACTCGTCAGCACCCAACAACAACAGGACTTTACAGGGACAGCACGCATTTGAGGACCAGAACCGTCAGCCCCCACCTCATTGAGCCCACTGAGCTGAGCGTAGATGCCGCAGTTTTGCCTAGCAGAGCCGCTACTGACTGAAACACAGCTGAAGTACCGCTCTTTCTAATCGATAGATTGAGAAAGGCTTTTTCAATTGAGACCTCACGGAGGAAACCACCACCCTGCATCGCAAATGGCTACTAATGAGCACATGAGGTCAGCTGGATGTTTAATTTGCTTCCCAAGACACACTAGCTTATTATACTGCTTAATGAAGAAAGGCTCCTACAAATGGTAAAACAGACCATGTGCCAGTTAAGTTACGGTTTCTCAGTCTCAGCTCTTCTGACATTTTGGGGAGGATCATCTGTTGTTGGAGGGGGTGCATTGTAGGATGTTCAGCAGCATCCCTGGCCTCTGCCCATTAAATGCCAGCAGCACCCACCTCCCCCAGCTGGACAACCCAGACTGTCTCCAAACATTGCCGCATGTCCCCTGGTGCACAATCCACTCCTGGATTAAAGTAATAAAACATGACGTCTCCTGCCCCCTACACAACAGCTTAACAACTTCTTTGGCCTGAAATGTAAGCAACTATCTTCCTAAGTCTTCCATCACTAGATTAAAAAAATAAAATCCAAAGGCATCAAAGCCTGTGTATAAACTATTAACCTCAGAAAATAGTCTTCCACCTTTTTTTCCATTTATATTGACCATTTTTTGAAATTTGACATGCCTGAAATGGACAAGAGCCCAAAATAATAAATACCATGCATTGATCTTTTTTTTGCCAAAATCAAAATGATATTTTTAACTGGGAAAAATGTTATTTATCTTTTATGTACCATGAGATAAGCACAAGATAGGAACGTTATAATAAAAAGCCCTCATTTTGACACAAGAACCCACGTTCCCGTACAAATTAGAACGATCCTCAAAGGCATAAGTACACAAGCTTTATTGGGCAACAGCATCAGGCCATGCTGGCAAACAATGAAAGAAGAGCCGCTCAGAAACACGGAAGATCACATGTGTGTCATCACAGAATTGAGTGTTTCAGTCATCTGGGAGTGCCTGCTAAATTAAAGCAAACAGACCAGAGCTTCCTTCTAATCAAAAACGCTGTCCTGGTAAATATTTGCAATGAGGATTACATATAAAGAGATCTACTAATGAGGACATAATGGACTCCTATATGCGTATAAAGTTAACCCCACTGCAACAAAATAATAAATTAGCCACAATTTTTTTTTTGCAAATGCCACACCCTTTCCCAACCCCCACAAACACAATATTCACTGACATTGCCCACCCAAACTATGCAGTGATGGAGAGGACCGAGTCCCCGGGAGCGCTGCCTTGGGTGAGAAGATGCTGTGGTACTTCAGGTGGTAGGATGCTGCTCACACGGCGGTCAGTGTTTCAGTTCCACTCAAAAACATAATGTATTCTTTTTCCAAGAAGAAATAGACATAATTAATGGCAACATTTCCTAAGAAGTATATATAAACAACAAAAAGCTTTACATTAAAAGGAGGAGGGGGATAAAATCTTTCGTATTTACAAAGCTCCTTGTGTATTTTTAAAATGACACCAACCTGGGAGTGATGGCATTTTAATACAACAAAAACCGAGCATTTCTTCAGAAAACTGGAGACAACGTCACACACGCACAAATGCACACAAACGCGCACACATATCAAACACACAGAAAAGACTAAAGAGAAAAATGGCCGATCGGCATTTGCCTTAAGTAGGCTGGTGCAGAAAATGTGCAGCTCCCATCTAAAATCTGGCAAGGATTTAAAACACTGCCCTGTAAAGGCATGAGTGCACCCCCAGCCCTGCCCCAGTAAAAACCAAACAACATATAAAAACGAAAGTCTGCCGGGAAAAAAAAACAGGCATCATTGTGTCAATTTCAAATGAGCACAAAATTCAAACTACATTAAAAAGTACCACTGGTGTGGCTTCAGCTGAGCAGAAAACACACTGAGGAAATGCTGGTAAACAGACGACGGTATTTAAGATTACTGCTACAAAAAAGGGTTTCATTCAAGGGAAGCCGGACTGGGATCTGGGATGTAATCATGCTGAAAGTGGGAGAGAGTCAGCAACTGGCCTATCAGCTCCAGGTAGCTGTAAACAGGTGGTTTGCTCCAAGTTTAGACTGATGACTGGGGTACCCTCCTTCTCTTTGTCCAGGCAGCTTGAGTGGACACCACCAGTCTCACCCAGCACCATGGGCCACAGACGCACGCTCATGCTCTCAAAACTGAATCAGAGCTGTCAAATATAAGACATTACTCAAGATGAAGCAAATCGCTCATTTTCTTAGAGAAAGAGGAAGGGAGGAGGGTAAAAGAAAAAATCCGAACAGATCCTGCTCCCCCACAACACACACACACACAATCATCCCCAAAACATATAGCAAAAAATACTAAAGGCTTTGGCTCTGACAGCAATAACTGGTGTTACCAGAGGGCAGCAGAGAATTCCAATTGTTTTACCTTAAGGGAAAGTGTTTAAGTGGTGCTCACTGTGTGCCTCCTGGCCCTCTGTGCTCATCTTAAATTTGCTGTTGGCAACTTAAGCCCCGCTGAGTTCTGAGGTGAGGAAAAGGTGTCAATGGTGGCTTGTAAGTTCTTTCAAGATTGTCAGTCAAGAAAAGGTAAGCTCGAGCTTTACAAATTCAGGAGAGTTTCCTGTAAAAGAGCTCAGGTTTTTTTGTTCGCTTGTCTCTGTTTTCTCTGCACAACCAAGATGACCCACTCAACCAAGCAGTGCCCAGATGTTCACAAACTCTCTGTAGAGATTAAAGTGTGGTTTGTGCAGGTAACGCTCCAGGACTGTCAGCTGACTTGAGGCTTTTGCCCTTTTTGTTCCCACCCCGTATTTGAGAAGCAAGTATGCGTATGCCTACACACTCGGGGACCACCAGGGGGCGCACCAGCACGCTGCCCACTGTTGGTGTGTTCTTACCACATGGCGGTTTCCACCTTGTCCTCACCTTGATTGTCTCCCCCAAAGTGTGGCTGGGACAACAGAACAAGGCGGCTCCTGGACGACACTGACAAGCACCTTCTACTTACTTCCAGGTCTGGCTTTTCTGGCCCCCCTTAGAGGCTTGACTCATACACCTTGATCAAAATTGGAAATTAAGAAAAAGACCAGCAAGACCATCTTCATTCCCTATTATCTGCTGGAAACAGCTGGAATTTCTTAACAAGGCTCCCACCCTATCTACCTGCAGAAGCCATCACCTATCTGTGAACAAGGCCACGTTCAGTGTTCGTGAACTCAGAGACTTCGGTTTTACAGGTTGACTTCCAATAAAACAGACGAGGTTTCAAAAACTTTGAAGCACAACTTTCTCCTCCTCTACCTCTGAAACTACATGAAATCACTCAGTGAAGTCAGACTCACTCAACCTTCCTGAAATTTGTGGACAAACAGCCTATTTCTAAACAACGATTCACTCAATGCAATGTATCTAGTATGGCAGGAGAGGCTGGAACAGGAAGGGGGAAATACTGCAAAATTGCAGAAATCTTAAAACAAAGCAGAAGTGATGTCAACAGCCAATTTATCATTGCCTGCAGCTTACTGCCATTCTAGTAAATTCTGGAAGTGCAACACAAAATACATATGTGTATCGAGAGCACTCTACAGGCAAGAGACGTCTGCTGCTCACTTCCCCAGTCACCACGCCTGGTTTACCCGAGGGCACTGGGAATTGGGGACCTGGCTGTAACTGACGTTTCTGAAGCACACACAAGAAGTGTCATCTGATGAACTGAAGGGTATACACAAGCCCAAGATATCGACCACATTCAACTCGTGAAGATCCACCAGCTTAATCTTTATGGCATGCACACGTGCCTTTCACAAGAAGTGACTTGAAAACCCAAGAATGCTTTGCCCTGCTACGGCCAATGCTCCCAAACTCCCTTCTTCCTCCGGAACAAGAAGCCACAACTTTTATAGGAAACACACACGCATGCCCTCCATCCTGGTGGGGGAGCCATCTTTACTACTAGCTGCCTTTCGGCAAGGCCCCCTGGAAATGTGTACACAGCGGAACACACCCCAGATCCCAAAGCCGCAGCGAACACACCCCAGATCCCAAAGCCGCAGCGGCGGCCTCCTCCCCCCAGGGCTCCTCACTTTAAGCCGCCACCGATGAATGGCAACGCTGTAAAATGTCTCCGCCTTTGTCAGTTCATCCTCAGTAATTCCTCCTAACAGGAAACAGATTTCTGCAGCAGCAAAGAGCCCCGGCTCCCTGACCTTTCCGCTCTGGACTCTGAGGATCTGAGTCACATCTGCCATGTTGTCTAAAGAATTAGTTGAGTCTCTTATCACAGTGTCGACACATTTAGGGGCCGCTCAGTGGCGTGTTTCCTGCTAAAACAACTCTGCTGAAAATGCGGAGGGATGTCCTCAGATAGCCACTGACTTGTTAACTGCTACCAGGTCCTAACAAAGTAAGATAACACCTTTGAAATTTTTTTACGAGGTGACAGGTGAAGTTACTGCAAGTTGTGTAGATGCTGAGCTGGATCAAAGACAACGCAGTGGATTTACAGCACGCTCTCTCCCTCTCCTCTCCATGACCATTAAAAAAAAAGTGTTTTCTTTCTAAGAATTTAATGTTGTTTAGGACCCCCTTAGAGAGGCTATGTGGCAATTCCAAATTGAGAATGCGCCCCGTGTAACTTTGTATCAAACGCCACCGTTTTTTCCTTCAAACATACACCAAGAGCTTTGTATTTCTCTGAAACAGTTTAAGAGAGAAAAAGATGTAGAGTGCACACATATTAGGACTGTTAAAATAAGAAAAAAAAAAAAAAGCCCCTTCTTCATCTAGACAGAAACTTTGATCACATGACAACAAAATTCAAGTCTTTACGAAGCTTGCGCAGTGACCCATCTAACTCTCTCGGCTGAGCCACCAGCTTTAACTTACTCACATTCGTTCAAATGTGAATAAACGGGTAAAAGAGGCCTGCATGGGCACCTGTGGGAATCTCCCTCCTGTTTATTCAGCCTTAGGACGCAGCGGAACTGCAGGGGTTCTTCACGTCGAAACTGCCCGCATTCGCAATTACCGCACAATCCATAGGTGGCGTTAGGGTCAACGGAACTTGAACTGTGTCCATCAGGAGAGCAGAGACTGGGGTCCCCCCACCGAGCGTACAGCCTACGATGTGAGCTTCGAGTAGCTGGGGGGAGAGAACCGCCTCCGCAGGTACTTGAGGACGTAGAGGGGGAGGCAGCTGACCAGAGTGATAACGGAGACTTTCCACAAGAAGGACAAGGTGGCGATGAAGTACACATCTACAAGTAAATGGAAAGACAGCAGTAAGCAGGCAGCAATGTTCCCCAAGGCTCACACGGCCCGGAAACAGTCATCGTAGCTACCAAGAGGAAAGCGTTCCACGTCACAAGCACACTGTGCCTGGCATTCGCGCCTTTCCTCCACTCCAAGTCTGCAAGGGATTTGCCACGGGCTAATAGTACCTACTGAAAACACTGGGGGTTCAGTGGTAGAATTCTTGCCTTCCATGTGGGAGACCCAGGTTCGATTCCCAGCCGATGCCACTCATGCATAGCCACCACCTATCTGTTGGTGGAGGCTTGCAGGCTGCTATGATGCTAAGCAGGTTTCAGTGGAGCTTCCAGACTAAGGTGGACTAGGAAGAAAGGCCTAGTGATCTACTTCTGAAAATCAGCCAGTGAAAACCCCACAGATCACAAAACTATCTGCAACTGATTGTGGGGATGGCGCAGGACCTGGCGGCGTTTCGTGCCGTTGTGTTGAGCGTGGGGTCGCCGTGAGTCGGGGGCGAAGTCAATGGCAGCCAACAACACTAGATCCCAGAGGGTGTCAGCTTGACTTTCTCTAACCTGCTTCTGGAGCTTCCTGATAGTGAAATGCTCTTTTCAACAACTAGGAAAGCAAAACGAGGGGCAAAAAAAAAAAAAAAGAAAATTCCTCCAGCTGTTTTTGATTTGGAATCTGGCAGTTGGAGTTTCTTTCTTTCCCTAGTTAACTGGCTGCTGCAGAGCAGAAAGCAGTATTCCCACGCACGTTTCTGCTTCCCAGTAACTTTCTCCCCTCATCCCCGTCACGCCAGTGAGGAAGCCACGGACGGATCTATGGCGTGGTTCAAAGCAAGCTGGGATGCCCTTGTCAGAAACGGGCTGTACTTCGAAGGCTTTGAACTAAGCCCACCTGCCCTCACTCCCTTCCCCTCCACTGCAGCAGGTGTGAACCCTGGCAATTAGGAGGCTTCACAAGAGAGCAGTGACATCTTGTGGCTTTCAGCAGTACACGGAGAAGGTGCCGGAGGAAACACCTTCCCACGTCCTAAGCACTGCGATGGCGTGTCCTGGCGGGGCACAGCGGGGAAAGGGCAGCTGGCATTTCCTGGGCACTTACTAAGTGCCCAGCCCAGGGCTCCACCCGCCTTGCAGAAGTCCCCCACATGCCTCTCTCCCAGCCCTGTTGTGACTGGTCTAAGGTGGCCATTGCTTCCTGAGGGCAGAGACCACATCTCCAACCTCTGTGACCCCTCAGCCCCAAGCAGATAATAGGTGCTCAGGAAGCTCATTCTGAGAGATTTCTGAGACAAGCATAAAACTGTTCTAGAACTGCACTTGTCACAAGGAGGAGGTGCTTTTTATCTTTACTAGAACCTTCTTTGGAGCCTGGTGGCACAGTGGTTAAGACACTTGACTGCTAACCAAAAGGTCGACAGTTCAAATCCACCAGCTGCTCCTTGGAAACTATGGGGCAGTTCTACTTGGTCCTATAGGGTCGCTGTGAGCCCAAATTGACTCAATGGCAATGAGTTTTGGGTTTTGTTTTGTTTTTTATTGTTTTTGGTTTTATGATGGTTAAGAGCTCAACTGCTAACCAAAAGGTCAGCAGTATGAATCTACTAGCCACTGCTTGGAAACCCTACGGGGCAGTTCTACTCTGTCCTATAGGGTCGCTATGAGTTGGAATCGACTTGACGGCAATGGCCTTGGTTGTTTTTTTTTTTTTGGAGGGGGGGCAACATTGCCCCCATTGAGAACACCTGTGATAAAGAAATAGGGTCCAGCAACTCTGTTACACCACAGCCCCTGCTAAAGAGCCCAGCACCCTGTGGCCTCCCAACATGGCAGGGAGGGAAAGGGGTGTATAACTGAAATCTCCCCCTAGAGGGAGCTTCCCAGCAACCATGAACACAGCATCTTAGCAGGGAAGCAGCCTCTGAGCTAAGTAGTTCTCTCTGCAGAGAGAGAGGTAGAAATGAGAGAACTCACCCAGAGGGCGTTTCATTTTGTTTTGCTTTTAATAACACAGACAGAAGCTTAAATGCCTCAATAGAAAAGGAAAGCGGTATATGAGGCTTTGCAAAAATAAAGCGGGTGCTCTGCTGTCTCCCAGATGGGCTTTACAAATGACTCATGGCTGGAATGTCTAAAAGCTCAAAGAGGCTCAAGCTTCCCCTGCACTGGGAAAACCAAGGTTAGATTCCCACAAGATTATCCACAGCACCACACAGAAGATGCTGGATCATCGGAACTGTCCCTGCAGTGAAAATGCATCAAGCTGAGCTAGAAATGGGCTGCTGGGCTGGAATTGGAGCCCGTGTCGCCCGTGCGAGGCCAGCAGCAGGAGTCCAGCAGCAGAAGGTCCATCACCGTCACAAGACATCATCTTGGTGGCCCTGCAGGGCCTCAGGGCTCCCTACTGATGAGGAAGTACTGGCTGAACTGAACTTGGCAATGAGTTCCTGCAAGTGAGAGAGTCGTGTGGAAGGCAAACGAGTTGCTCTCAGGCCGTCCACCCCAGAGCAGGGGCTGGGAGGGGGAACACGCCCAAGAGCGCCAGGATCACTGAGGTGGTTGAGAAGTCAGCCCCCTGGGCCCCCTAGGTGGCTCCCAGCCCTCCCCATCTGTAAGGTTTATTATTTGGAGTCTGTCGGGTCTCTAACACTCACCCAGTCTTTATCTCTCAGTAGCTCTGATCACATCTGAGATCCACGGACTTGTTCATCGTGCCTCTTCCCCAACGAGAAGGGAAGTTGCGCGGAAAGCCTGCGCACTCTGACTACTGCTACAATCCTGGCTCCCAGCAGCTACCCTCAGCGTTTACGGAATGAATGAATGAATGCCCACTGTTGGCAGCATCTACCACTTCTTAGCTCGGCTGTACACAGCAGGGGTTTCTATCTTGAGGCCCTTGGAGTCTCCTTAGAAACTACAGGAATGAGGACGTAGGTGAAGGAGGACCAAACGGGCATGGTTCTGAGGCTGGTGCCTCCCAACACTGCGCTTAACTGCACCACACCCACTTTTATCAGATTTAAAGACTGAGTTTCTGATTAAAATGTCGTGGGGATAAAAGGTTCTAGTGGCCAAAAAAAAAAAAAGTTTGAAAAATCCTCAGCATAGGCATGATGCTAAAGAAACCCCTGCAGTCTCCCTGGGTTTTCTGGGGCATCACTTAGGCCCCTCTGCTGGACTACCACGAGGCAGTAGAGGTTCAGTAGCAGAACTCTCCCCTTCCATGTGGGAGACCCGGGTTCAATTCCCTGCCAATGCACCTCATGCACAGCCACCACCTGTCCATCAGTAGGGGCTTGTGCGTTGCTATGATACTGAACAGGTTTCAGCAGAGTTTCTAGGCTAAGACGGGACTAGGAAGAATGGCCTGGCGATCTACTTCCAAAAATCAAAAAACGCAGCCAATGACTTAATCTTTGTTCTAGGGCAGGGACCAGCAAACTACAACCCACAAGCTAAATTTGGCCCACTGCCTGTTTTTGTAAATAAAGTTCTACTGTAACACACACACACACACACACAAAATCAGTCAATGAAAACCCCATGGGTCCCAAGGCACAACAATTAGTCTCTATTCAACTGGAGCAATAGAGAAAGGAGAGTCAGGAATAGGAAGAGGATATGGAATGTGTGGTTAATTGCCTCCATGAACAATGGCCTCCTTTGCCATGAGACCAGAAGAACTGGATGGTGCCCAGCTACCACTACTGAACATTTTGATCAAAGATTCTATAGATGAATCCTGATCAAAAGCGGGAAAATACAGAACACAATTTCAAATACTTATGGACTTCAGCCTTTCTGGAGCCATGAAGGCTGGATGAACCCCTGAAACTACTGCCCTGAGATAATCTTTAATCCTTAAACCAAAAATATCCTCTGAAATCTTCTTAAAACCAAACAATAGTTTATTTAGCTTAACTAGTAAAAAATGTCTGCCTTGAACATTTTTTTAAGAACTATCTATATAGGATCCAACTGACAACAGCAACTCGAAAGATTAAATAAGAACCTTAGAGGGCAGTGAGTTTATGTTAATGGGGGAGGAATAACTCAGAAAAAGAGGGTGAGGATGGCTGCACAACTCAAAGAATGTAATCAACGTCACTGAACTATACATACAGAAACTGTTGAATTTGTGTATGTTTTGCTGTGTATATTCTGAACAACAATAACAAAAAAAACCCTACGGATTGATATAGTGGCTGCAATAATGGGTTCAAACATAGCAACGACTGTAAGGATGGCACAGGGCCAGGCAGTGTTTTGTTCTGTTGCACACAGGTTCACTATGAGTTGGAACTGACTCGATGGCACCTAACAAACAATAATAACATGGATCTTGATGGTCCAGTCCACAACTGACCACTGGGAAGGTGCAGGACCAGGCAGCATTTCGGTTCGTTATGCGGGGGGTTGCTGTGAGTCGGGGGCTGACTTGACGGCAGCTAACTACAACTGGACTATCATTTATTTTAGAGTAGGACCTGGATGCTCATCATCTCCATGGCTCTACCGAGCCCAGCTTTGCGGTTCCTAGGAAACCCAACAAACACCTGTTGAATTAAACAGGATCCCCTTCTAAGCCAGTTAGCTTTCTGTGTCTCTGTACTGAGACCATGCCCTACAGCCTCAATTCCAGGTGGCCGATCCACAACTGTCACTTGTCCCTCAGGGATGCCAGCAAGGAAAATCGGGGCAGCTCAGGGCAAAAGACCACTGGACGAAAAGTCCAGGACACACCTGCCGGGGGGGCCACCTTTCCCCACAAGGGGCCGGCCGACTGGCTCTACGTGGGCGGAGTCTTACCTATGAACTCGTGTAAGAAGACCAGGGAGGCGATGTAGCAGGCCAGGCTGAGCAGCTCGGCCACCGTCATGAGCCAGTGCCAGGTCTGGATGGTCAGCGCCACCATCAGCAGCTCGGTGAGGATTAGCGACGTGAAGGAGATGGCCACGATGTGCACAAACTCTGACTCGAACAGCAGCAGCGCTCCGTACATGATGGTGCTCCCTGGAAATGGCAGAGACAAGACCGGGTGGGCGGGGGGGCACCCCATATGACCTTCTCCACTGGACGTGAATTCCATGCACACACTGCCACCAAATGTCCATTTTGCTCACTTACATTTGACTTTTTTTCACTTAGACACGCAAGGTCTCACTTATTAAATGAGGCTAATGAGTTGAGCTTTGTAGGTGTTTCAAGGAGAGGCAACACATTGTAGCTTTTCTATTTTCCTCTCTGACCTCCATTATGGACTGAATTGTGTCCCCCAAAAGGACCTGCTGAAGTCCTAACCCCTGTGCCTGGGAACATGACCCTGTTTGGAAATAGGGTCTTTGAAGTCGCTATCAGTTAGGTTAACATGAGGTCACAGTGGAGTAGGGTGGGTCTTAGGCCTAAGTGGTGTCCTAAAACACGAGAAGAAACGCAGACAGGGAGACAGAGGGAGGACACCATGGGACGCTGCAGCTTCCAGCCAAGGAACGCCTGGAGCTGCCAGAAGCTGGGAGAGAGGCATGGAGCAGTTTCTCTTTCAAAGCCCCAAGAAGGCATCAACGTGGCCAATCCCCTGATCTAGACTTCTAGCCTCCAGAGCTGTGAGACAAGGAATTTCTGTTTTAAAGCCACCAACTTTGTAGTATTCTGTTCCAGCAGCATGAGGAGACTAAGATGACCTTGTGTGATGAATAATCTACAACTAGAGAGAAACAGAAAGGGGGCAAGGAAGAGAGGCAGACGGAGAAGGTAGTTGGAGTTGATGGAATAGGAAACAGAATAATAAGTACATTGTTTAAAACTATAAAGGTAACCAAGGGTGGAATTAGAATTATACACCTATATTGCGGAGAGGAAGGAGAGGGGAGAGTGCAGGTGATTCTCCATCTATCAGGAACTGAACTGATAACATCTCATGTTGGCACCCTGGTGGTGCAGTGGTTAAGGGCTCAGGCTGCTAGCCAAAAAGACTGGCAGTTCAAATCCACCAGCTGCTCCCTGGAAACCCTATGGGGCAGTTCCACTCTGTCCTATAGGATGGCTATGAGTTGGAATTGACTTGATGGCAACAGGTTTGGTTTTTTGCGGGGGGTTTTCATGTTGGTTAAAAACACTGGCAGCATAAGAATATGACTTAGAGGAGGCAGCCAGGAGATACTAGAAACAAAGCTCTCAACGTGACTGCCCTTTGGAAACAGGGTTGAGGATGGAGAAGGGCGGGATGGAGGACTGCTGCTTATTATTATAAACTTTCCATAGGGTTTGCTTTTTGAACCAGATGCACATAGTACACTTTGATACATCTCTTAAAAACACCTCCCCTCAAAAAAAATTTTTTAAATAACAGTTTAACTCCCTGCCAACAACTCTGCTGGTCTCTAAACCCTTTGATTGCATATCCCATCAGTAAAAAACATTAAGACTGAGCCCCAAATATGTTTATGTGTAAATCATACATATGTGCCTATGCAGATACAGACAGATCTCAGGACTGCTGTAAAAATACATTACGTGCATTGTAAAACAGATACAGAAACGGAAATTCTAAAAAGAGTGAAGAAAAAACAAATACAAACAGAGGTTTTGATATTTTGTTTTCCAACAGATGGTCTTATAAACCCCTTGCAGTCTATGGGACCCACACTGAAGACTCTGAAATAAATATATTTCTCATGGAGTCCCTGGGTGGCGCAAAAGGTTAAGCCCTCAATTGCTAACCAAAAGGCTGGCAGTTCAAACCCACCCAGAGGCACTTCAGAAGAAAGGCCTGATGATCTACTTCTGAAAGGTCACAGCCTTGAAAACCCTATGGAATGCAGTGCTACTCTGACACACATGGGGTGAACGACAACAAATATATGTATGTATGTATGTGTATATGTGTGTGTGTGCACATATACAAACACATATATGACACACTGCTGTTGAACTGACTCTGACTCATAGCAACCCTATAGGCAGGGGCAGATTAACCAGTGACACGGGCTTAATTACGCTTACTTACTAATCTGTAGTACACAATTTCACATGGGTTTCACCCCATCTTTCCATATATATATGTGTGTGTGTATGTGTGTATGTATATATACGTATATGTAAACATGCATGTGTATGTATATATATGTGTGTGTATGTATATTTGTGTGTATATGTATGTATGCGTATGTATATGTGTATGTGTACGTGTATATATGTGTGTATATATATGTGCATGTATGTATATATACATATATACACATGTATATATACATAGATACACACGTACATATACAAACTTATGCGTATACATGTATGTATGTACATATATGTGTGTGTGTGTTTCAAAAACTACAACTTGACCTTACTCTGAATCAGAACATCCCAGAAACCAACTGCTCTGTGTAACGTGGATGGAGCCCCTCAGTGGGTTTCCATGAGCATTGGTTATCTTTCTCTCTGACTACACTATCTCATTAAGCTGACAGCACCTCCCATATCTGACTCTCTCTGCTTAATGTTCGATCTTCCATCAGGCTGAGCAGGGCTCCTCCGGGCACGCTCATCACTGCCATTTTAGGATTCCACTTCTTCTCTTCATGCTCTACAGACAGGAAAGAGACTCCCTGGGGTCAGCAGCAGAGCACAAGGAAGACAGGCAGCTTCGCCTGTCCTTACCTTGGTAGATGCTAATCAACACCCATATTAAGAAGGTCTTGTAGGACAACGGCCGTCCCTAAGCAAGAGACAGAGAAAGATCAGAGCAGGTTAGTGTCGGGGCTCACCAGGTATACCCCTGCCTTCCAGTACTCTTCCACTAACTAGACAAGGAAACCTGCCCATTTTCATCCAAAAAGTGAAAAAAAACTTTAATTAAAAAAAATTGTAAAAAGTGGTTTATAGATTACAGACATTACATTTTTTTAACAGAATTGATATTAGACCCCTTAAGACAAAAATGAAATTACACACATACACACACACACAAACACACAGACCCCACAAGAACATTTCTAGCGCCATGAGCTGTAGCTGCAAAATGGGACTTAAGGGGTTTTTTCGAAGTTGGTTGTTTATTTCACAGTTTATGTGTCACTGCACTGTTTAATACTCTTTACATGCACATAGATGACTTTCTTAAGTAAAAAAGTACAAACTCCCACTCCTTCCCACAAAAGTAAGAAAGACAAGTGTCAAGTGTGGTCTAATCAGATATGGAGGGTCTATGCGAAATAAATTAAAGAGAAGGAAGAAGGGAGAGAGGGGGGAAGAAGGAACGGAGAGAGAGGGTGGGGACGAAGGAGGGGCTCCATGAACCTTGAGGAGATCCTTGTAGAGCTCAGGATATAGCATGGCAACTTCAGACTTGACATCTTTGTCCAGGACCAGAGAAAATACAGGAAACATGGTGTAAATGGTGGAGTACCTAGGAGAGACAATCACTGCAGGTCAGACCCAGCCCTTACTCAGCCTGGTACCCAAGCCTCTGGAGCCCAATTTCATTGTTCATTCACTCGCTCACTTGCTCGCTCACTTGCTCGCTCACTCACTCACTCATTCATTCATTCATTCATTCAACAGTTCTTTAGTGGGTGCCTTCTATGTGTCAGGGCCTATTTTAAGCACTGGAAATTCAAGATGAAAAATAGACAAAAACTTCTGCCCTCAGACAGCGTCAGTAAACACATAAATTAAGGAAAATATATCATGTTAAAGGCACGTGTGCAGGAGGAAACAACAAAGAGAAAATAAGATGTGAGGAGGGGTGTGTGTGCAATTATAGAGGGGACGGCCGAGGAGGACTAACTGAGGGGACACTGGAGTACACACCCACAAGAAGTGAGGGGGGTCCTGCCAGTATCTGGAGAAGAGCAGTATCAGGGAGGCCCAGAGGTTTCTGTCCTGTCTGAAAAACAGTGAGGAGGCCAGTGCAGCTGGAGCTGAGCGGGTGAGGGCCAGAGGGGAGGAGACCAAGACAGAGAGGGGAGGGCCGTGTGGACACAGCTCAGGTACTCTCTGACTATACCCTGCAGGTCCTTTTACTCCCACAGGATCTGCCAGGAGGACAGTCTGTTTTCCCACTGAAAAGCAGGCAGATTTTCAGCACTCGCTCTCAATAAACCAACAGGCCAAACATAGTAAGGTAGGCATCAAACTTCGTCAGGCCCTGGTAAGGCCAGACTGCCTTTCTGCATCCTACGGCTCTTCATCTTCAAGAGTGGGCCCTGCAGGCATCTCCACAGGGCAGCTGGTAGCCAGACTCACCTACCTGGGTAACTCACAGGCTGCGCATACTCTCCAAAAGGTCACAAGGAACACCCGGAAGTTCCGGGTCAGGAACGGGGTGGGTCTGGTGCCAGCAAGTGTCCAGTAGCACCTCTCTAGGGGACCAGTGGCATGTGCGATCAAGCTCTATTGCATGCACATCCCCCTGAGAGCAGGGCATGGCCCTCCTTAGAGACCCAGCAGCCAGAAGTTCTGTTGGGGTCGGTGACCGTAGGGAGGACACTTTTTGCATCCCACCTTTCATTACCCTGCTCCTAAGACTCCAGTGAAATCGCTGAGTCTGTGAACCTCCGCTCTTGCCCTTGCTGTCGATGAGCTGACACCTCCAACTCCAGTGGGCAAAGGCTTTTCCTTACCAGTACAAATGCAAAGTGCTACAGACCACAACCGTATCTGACTCTGCTTCCTCAATCTGGCAAAAAGCTTACCAGTACAAGAATTTAATTCAAGGAGGGTCTAAGTGTCACGGCTGGGCCAGTGCAATCTGGGGAGTGACGGGTCTCTACACAATGTTTCTTCTCTCTTCTATGGCACACTGAGGAGGTTTCGTAAGAAGTTAATTCCTTGCCTGGATTTCCTTACCCAATGATGAGGAATCCTTGATAGAGGGGAACGGAGGCGAAGTAAAACACAGAGGAGAAGACGGCCTGTGCAGACAGAAAAGGTCACTGAGAACATCACAAACGGACAAGCGAATCCTTGTACTCCCAACCAGTCGGAATCACCACCTCCCCAGACGTGTGTGCCGATAAATAAGTCGACGTGCATGTGGTACAAGCTTGGAAGAACCTCCTCCCAAGTCTCTGCACCTGTTACCTTGGAGGGTGGGATTGCAGAGAACATGTCACTTCTTACATTACACGTTCTAATACTTTTAGAAAATTTTACAAAGAGCATATTACACACTATTTTTGCAATTAGAAGCAATAAAGATAGTTACAAACCCTTACTGAAATCTGTCTGCTTCCTAATTTGGAAAAGGCTAGCTACTGGCAGTGAAAAATAAGCGGGGCAGATAAAATCAGGCTGGATGCTCTGGTCAGCTCTTCTCTGGATGTCTACAGGCTGGGCAGATAAAATCAGGCTGGATGCTCTGGTCAGCCCTTCTTGTCTACAGGCTAACGGACGAAAGGGGGTTTCCAAAGCTAGTTGTTACTGGTATAAAACCAAAGCGAGGCCAGGGACCACCGCTGCCCAAAGGCTTTCAAACCAAGCACAGAAAGGCTGGGCCCTATTAGTGATAAGAAACCGCTTCCACCCAGAGAGGTCTCCCCTACCACCTACTCTGCGCCGAGAGAAGGCACGTGGAGCTCAGGTGCCACCAAGAGCTACGGCCACACGACACGGCACCCTGTGCCCCACCCCAGTCATGATGTCACAACCACAGCACCGGGAAAGTCACCTTTCAAATGACTCCCCACGCCAGGCTGGGCTGCCACACAGGAAGGATCGTTTTGTTGCAAAATATCAAGAATCTGGTGTGTATTTTGCAAATCAACCTCAGGAGCCTCTTTCTCCAAGAGGGTTGTGCTGACCACATAGCCTTGTCTTGCAAACAGTGCCGGGGACAATGGAAACACCGTGTCAGTGTCTTTCAAGGGTAGCTCTAACTGGGGGTGGCACGCAGCCGGCCACTTTCAGCACAGCGGACAGGGGTTAGAGCCAAAGAACAACCAATTCCTCATCCTGAAACTTCTAAAACATCCACGTTCATGGTAACAAGCAGGCATGGCAGAAGTCACCTCATCCAACCGGTGGTTAACAACACAGCATTATCCAGCTCCACTGAGGAGTTAACATAAATTAAAGTACAGATGTGGTCACACAAACCACACCAGTTGTTTGGGTTTGGATCATGTTAATGAAAATCACTTTAAGGGCTCCTCCACTTCTAAATACCATAGATATTTAAAACATAAAACAACCCCCGAAAGGCACGGGGAGTTGGGGGGGTTGGATTCACATGTGGCTCCAACAGAACCACCTGACTCATGTTGAAAGGTCTTCCGTGCGTGATTAAACGCCTCTCCTACAAATTACAATGTCACCTCCTGTTTATACGTGACCCTGTTTCACTTTAATGATGGCAAGGACGCCTTTGGTTTGCCTGGTCGTTGATGGCCATCAAACTCTCGCACATTCATGATCTGATATCCTCACAGCAGACTATGTCTGAGCAGACAGGGCAGGTTTTGTCATCCCCATTTTACAGGTGGAAAGACTGAGGCCCAGAGGAGTAAAGTGACTTGCTCAAGGTCTCATCACTACTTAGTAGTATGATCAAGAAGAGACATGGATTCTAGGATCTATTACACCTATGTTCTTGCCACTTAACTGCAAGTATTTTCACCTCCTTCCTAGTACACAGTCAATGGTTCCAGCCTGTAACAGATTTTGAAGGAGTTGGCAAGAGGGAAGGTGGGAAAATACCTTATACTCTCTATATCCTTTTGTGAAAAAGCAAGATGGTAGCAAGATGTTGGTCCCCAAGGGCACTAACAATCATGAAAACTAAGCTCAACTCCCAGGCGGGCTTTGCTGGCATGCTACATGGCAGAACTGTGACACCAAGACAGCCTCCATGCCATCTGCTTCACGGCCCCAATCTAAGAACGACCCTGCCTGTGGAGGAGGCCTTGGCCCCTCTGTATCGTTGGCATTCAAGGAGGAGACCTCAATGAAGAGTGCTGGCTTTGGCGTCCACCTGCCTGGGTAGAGCAAATCCCTACAGGACACGGTACAAATTTCTCAACCATGCCGAGATTCAGTCACCACATCTGTAAAATGGGAATAACAACAGTATCTACTGGCTCAGGCTATCATGAGGAGTCTACGAGACACTGCATGGTGAACACTTAGGCTGATGCCTAGGGTGTAGTAAGTGCTCAAAAAAAGTAAGTTCTTCTTTTCTGGTTGCTCTCTTCTGGCCTTAGCCTCAGCACGTGGAAATATCAGGGCCAGAGTACTCACTCAGCATTTAGTTCTGTCTTCCACTCTGGCAAACCAGTGGACTCGCCCCAAATAGAACAACACATCTTCAGCCTACCACGTGCTGAGCACTGTACAGGCACCACTGCCAATGCCCACATCCACTCCACGAAGCAAGAATGTTTAGCAGTACTTAACAGAAGAGGAATCTGGGGCACACCAAGCGATTATGTGACTTGCCCAAGGTCTACCAGTTGGAAAGTGGCCAGGCAGGAATTTAAACCAGCTGGACGGGGGCAACAAAGCATAGTGTAACTCCCAGGCTCTTTCCATGACAACCACATAGCCATGTACTCCTGGGCAAAGGTGCCGGCCACCCACCCAGCTGCATAGTATAGTCATGCGCACCTGTGCAAAGGTGCCAGCTGCCCACCCAGCAGCATGGTATAGTCATGCATACCTGTGCAAAGGTGTCAACTGCCCACCCACCTGCATGGTGCTGATACAGAGGCTCCTGTGGATCACAAACTGACTGAGGGCGGCTGACCGCTTGTAGCTGTTCCGGCCGTGCACCATAAGTAAGCGACAAAGATGCTTAAACTGAGTGATGGAGAAATCGGCAGCCAGCGAAGCCTGTTTTCCTTCCTGAAATCCAAAGAAATTGGGCACCGTCAGAAGCACAAGGGGTCAGGGCAAACACTTTTTCTAATTAAAAAAGCAAGACATTGTACGGAGATCTTTGAAGAACTTTAATGAAGAAATTCTTCGGTTTCAAGCTATATGAAGTTGGTGGTCCAACTTTAAATTTGATTTAAAAAGAGGAACTCACTTAAATAAAAAAAATTCTGATCCACAGACAGTTATAATTTAGAGGTCAAGCAGATCTAATACTAAACCATGGGGGTTAGGCCCAACCAATAATCTATATCAGAAGGAAAGAATCATTCAAAGATGTTGTTGTTGTTGTTCAGGTGCTGTCAAGTTGGTTCTGACTCACAACAACCCTACGTACAACAGAAGGAAACACTGCCTGGATCGGCAGGCCATCGATGCTGTGCTTGAGCCCCTTGTTGCGGCCACTTTGTTAATTCATCTCATTAAGGGTCTTCCTCTCTTCCACTAACCCTCTACTTTACCAAGCACGATGTCCTTCTCCAAGGACTGGTCCCTCCTGATAACATGTCCAAAGTATATGAGACAATGTCTTGCCATCCTTGCTTCTAAGGATCATTCTGGCTGTACTTCTTCCAAGACAGACTTGTTCGTTCTTCTGGCAGTCCATGTATATTCAATATTCTTCACCAACACCGTAATTCAAATGCATCAATTCTTCAGCCTTCCTTATTCACTGTCCAGCTTTAGCATTTATATGAGGTGACTGAAAAAGACCACGGCTTGGGTCAAGCGCACGTTAGTCCTCAAAGTGATATCTTTGCCTTTTAACATTTTAAAGATGTCTTTTGCAGCAAATCTGCCCATTGCAGTGCATCATTTGATTTCTTGACTGCTGTTTCCACAGGCGTTGATTCTGGTTCCAAGCACAATGAAATCCTTGACAATTTCAATATTTTCCCCATTTATCACTGTGATGGTTAACATTGTGTGTCAACTTGGCCGGGCCATGATTCTCAGTGGTTTGGCAGTTATGATGAAGTATGGTAGCTATGTAATGATGTAACCACCTCCATAATGACATCTGATATAATGTAATCACCTCCCTGATGAGATCTACTATGAGCAGCCAATCAGCTGAAAGGGAGTTTCCTTGGGTGTGAGGCCTGTATGCAATACAGGTCGACTTTCTGGCAACACTCATTATTTTTGCTTGCTCTGGATCCTGTGGTTGGCTCCTGTTCATCTGACCTCCAGTTCTTGGGATGTGATCTAGCAGCTTACCTGTCAATCTTCAGATCTGTCAGCCTCCGCAGCCTGTGAGCCAGAGGTCAGCTGTCTGACCTGTCTATCTTAGGTTTGCCAGCCCCTGCAGCTATGAGTCAGGAGAAGCCTCCAGCCTGACCCACGGACTTGGGACTTTCCAGCCTCTACAACCATGTGAACCATTTCTTTGATATAAATCTCTCTATATATGTATTTATACATTTCACTGGTTTTCCTTCTCTAGAGAACTCAGCCTAAGACAATCATGGTACTGCTTATTGGTCCAGTTGTGAGGATTTCTGTTTTCTTTATGTTGGTGTAATCCATATCGAAGGCTGTAGTCTTTGATCTTCATCAGTCAGTGCTTCAAGTCCTCTTCACTTTCAGCAAGCAAGGCTGTATCATCTGCATAATGCAGGTTGTTAATGAGTCTTCCTCCAATCCTGATGCCTCATTCTTCTTCATACAGTCCAGCTTCTCGGTTATTTGCTCAGCATACAGACTGAATAGGTATGGTGAAAGGGTACAACCCTGACGCACATGTTTCCTTATTTTAAACCACGCAGTATCCCCTTATTCTGTTTCAACAACTGCCTCTTGGTCTATGTACAGGTTCCTCATGAGCACAATTACGTGTTCTGGAACTTCCATTCTTTGCAATGTTATCCATAATTTATTATGATCTACGCAGTTGAACACCTCTGTGTAGTCAATAAAACACAGGTAAATATATTTCTGGTTTTCTCAGCTTTCAGCCAAGATCCATCTGTCATCAGCAATGATATCCCTCATTCCACGTCCTCCTCTGAATCTGGCTTGAATTTCTGGCAGTTCCCTATCAATGTACTGCTGCAATCGCTTTTGAATTTATTCAATGATAGATGTTTCATAACATTTAGTTCTCTTAAGGGTTAAACATAAAAGGGGGGACATCTGAGGCAATTATTAAATATTATTAAATATTAAATGGGACATTGCTGAACAGACAGCTTTGCACACTTGCTCGTGTATATGTGTGGGTAAAATTTATAGAAGTGGAATTAAATCACGGTGGAGCCATACAATGGAATTTTTTCTCACTCTAAAAAATGCATGACAGACACTAATCATGGGACAATTTGACACCAAGTCCTCCTGATATGACTCAATGGGAAGGGCACAAAATATCAAAGTCATAAAAAAAAAAAATCCCCACAAAAAAGATGCAAAAAGTGTTCTACATTGAAGAGATACGAGGATGTGACAATAAATGTAATTTGTGATCTTTGATTGGAAACCGAATATTAGAAAAAATAAATAAAAGCCATAAAGACATTTTGGGGACAACTGGGGAGATCCAACTATGGATAGTATACATTATTATTATATCAGTGTTACATTTGGGGGGGGCGGTGAAAATTGAATTTTTTGCTTAGGTAGGAGAATGTCCTTGTTCTTTGGAAATCCATGCTGAAGTATTTAGGAGGAAAACATTGATTATGCCTGCAATTTACTTTCGACTGATTCCGAAAAAAAAGCATAAAGGTGCGTGTGTGTTTGTATATCTGAAGAGAGATGGAGGGAGGAAGGGAGGGAAAATGTGGCCAATTTTAACAATTGCTAAATCAAAATAATGAAGAGATGGGTAGTCAATGTTCCATTTCAACTCTCTGAAGGACTGATAGTTTTCAAAATAAAAACTTAAGAAATATACAAAGAGTGTAAGAAGTGACGGATCTACATGTTCTAATATGGAAAAAATACAAGCTATAACATTTAAACAAGTTGCATAACAAAATGCATAGTATAATGTTTTTAATTTTGAATTACACATGAAATATATATACATCTGTAAGATTATATTATATATGTATATATGTACATATATATGTATAAAACAAATATACACACACTCATAACTAGTAATATGTGCACAGAAAAAATTTTGGAAGAATAGCCAATGCTAATAAATTGGATGCAGCTCTCTAAAAGAAACAATGCACTTTATCCATTTCTAAGTATAAAATTCTTTACAATGAGCATTTATTACTTTTACAAACAAAAAATCAAAGGAATCTGTAATTTTTTAAAAGATGGGGAAATATTTTCTTTCTGTATAAGAGTTTGTACAGAGTTCTATCAAACTCAAGCGTGCTACTTAAAACCTGCTTTAAGGGATCAATATGAATTTCAGCTAGAACATCTCACTTGAGGGTCATGTAACTCTGCAATTTCAAATCACTGTCATCTGGCTGAAAACTAGGGAATCAGAAAGAGTGGAAAAGAAAAAAAATGCATATGGATTCACCAAATTCATGAAGATATGCAACAACTTTATAAATTTATGAAATGTTTAAAGTATGTTCACTGTACCCTAAGAATACAGAAAAATACTTCTTTTTCTTTTAATTTAGGTTTTGGCAAGCGAAAACTCAATGTTTATTTATCTATATGATTTACTGACATGGAGCTCTGACTTGCAGGTAACATGTGCTTTCTTATGTTTCAGTATTTGTCATCTAGAATTTCCAGAAGTACTAGAGCTGTGTCTTTGAAGGAAAAAGAAAACAGGTAAAGAAGATCCAGCAAGTGGAGCAGAGCAGCACATGGGTTAACGCCACACCACCCACCATGTTAGCACTCACCTTTCCTTCGACCCCCACGCCACAGTCGGACTCCTGAATCATACTGACATCATTGCCTCCATCACCTGCGAGTCACAAAGACAGAGAAAAGGCAGGAGATGTGGGACAGGCAAGAAACACAACTCCCAAGTTTCATTCTTCCATTAAATAATACAGTTTTTGCCTACTATCCAGTACTTAACTAAATGCCTTACCTGCACCATTTCATTTAATCACTCCAACAACCCATGGGCTACTAGGATCCTATTTTACAGGCGGAAGAAATGCCTGGCAATCTGCTTCCATAAAGATTACAGCCAAGACAACCCTATGGAGAAGTTCTACTCTGTTAACACATGGGGGTGCCATGGGTTGGAATCGATCTGACAGCAATGGGTTTTTATTTTACAGGCGGAGGAGCCAGGAGATCGGTGACTTGCTAAGGGTCCCAGCTATTGAGCTGTGAAGGGGGGCTGAGTCCATGGCCTCTGAGTGGCAGGCCATGCCACTGTCACCAGCAATGATTGGCACTGGCCCTTATTGAGCACTGACTGTCCACTGTGGTCACCACTTTTTTTTTGTTTTTTTTTAATTGTGCTTTAGGTGAAAGTTTACAGCTCAAGTTAGTCTCTTACACAAAAATTTATACACACACCGTTACGTGACCCTTGTTGCTCTCCCTATTCTGTGACAACACACTCCTCCCTTCCACCCTGGATTTCTTGTGTCCATTCAACCAGCTCCTGACCCTCTCTGCCTTCTCATCTCACCTCCAGACAGGAGCTGCCCATTTAGTCTCATGTTATCTGACTTGAACTAAGAAGCATACTCTTCATGAGTATCATTTTATGTCTTATAGTCCAGTCTATTCTTTGTCTGAAGAGATGGCTTCAGGAATGGTTTTAGTTCTGGGTTAACAGAGAGTCCACGAGCGATGCCTTCTGGGATTCTTCCAGTCTCAGTCAGACCATTAATTCTGGTCTTTTTACTAGAATTTGATTTCTGCATCCCACCTTTCTCCTGCTCTGTCAGGGACTCTCTGTTGTGTTCCCTGTCAGGGTGGTCACTGGTGGTAACTGGGCACCATCTAGTTTCTCTGGTCTCAGGCTGATAGTCTCTGGTTTATGTAGCCCCTTTTGTCTCTTGAGTTAATATTCTCCTTGTGTCTTTGGTGGTCTTCATTCTCCTTCACTCCAGGTGGGTTGGGACCAATTGATGCATCCTAGATGGCCTCTTGCTAGCTTGGAAGACCCCAGACGCCACTCACCAAAGTGGGATGTGGAACATTTCCCTAATAAACTTTGTTATGCCAGTTGACGGTCACCACTTGTCTCCCTGTTACTCCTCAGAGGCACCATCTGAGGTGCCCGCTATGATTATCTCCATTCTACCAATGAAGAAACCGAGGCTCAGAAGGATGAAGGAAGTCACCCAGGACACCCAGCTAGTAAAAACCAGCTGAGGAGTCTGAACCCAGATCCAACTCCCAAGTGCCTGATCATCACCCCTTTGTGGTGCTGCATCCCTGCGTCACCAGCAAAAGAAGTACAAGCCAAACGGGGAGCAGCCAGCACATGTCCACCTACTCTTTCCCAAGGGGAAACACTAAAAACAATACCAACAACAATAACAACGCCAAAGTCTGTGGGGAAAAAAACCACAGCCTCAGTAAAGTGGTCCAGGCAACTTAAAGAACACACACAGAATGCAATTACCCTTATGGAAAATAACATGAATGTACCAGCAGGTCAAGGCCAGTAGTAAGGGCCCCAGCCCCCGACCTACCTACTGCACAGGTGAGCTTTCCAGCCCTGGCCCCCCCCCCACACACCTACCTACTGCACAGGTGAGCTTCCCAGTGCGTTCCTGGAGCAAGCGCACGATCTGGGCCTTCTGGGTGGGTGCACAGCGGCAGCAGACCACGGCCGGGCACTGGCAGGCCAGCTCCATGAACTCATACTCGTAGTACTTGAGGCAAACCTGGGGAGAAGGCAGAGGGAAAAGCAGTGGGTCAGGGCTGGTCAGCTCCCAGTACACAGCTCCCACGAGGAGCTGGCCCTCGGGGGCCCAGCACCTACCTCCAGCGAGTCTCCCGAGATCACCAGGGCGCAGTCATGCTTCCTGCGGAAGGCGTTCAGCTCCAGATGGGCCTCCCCGCGGTTGGTCACCTGGAAGGGAAGGGAAAGGTGGAGAAGATGCTGCATTTAGGAGATGGTGGAACAACAAGCTTCCTGGAGCCGGTGCAGATAACAGCCAGCCCAGAAAAGTACCCCTGCCCCTCCCCTGCCCCCACACAGAGCCAAGTCCAATCCTGTCTGCTGTGGTTCTGTGGGATCGAGGGAGCCTGTGTACCATCAATCACCTTCCATTTTCTCCAGGCCAAAAATCACGGCTGGAAATGCACACGCACCGCACCAGGCACCTTTCATGGATTTTCTCGTCTGTTCTCCCAACAACTGTGTGTGGAATGTAATGATGACAGCTCTGTTCTGCCCACAAGGGAACTACAGCATGGTGAGATGGCATCCCCTGCCTGAAGAAGCACCGCCCCACGGGGCAGCCATTCACAGCCAGACATCTATCAGGGGCAGGCCAACTTGTTCTATTAAGGGCCAGAGTGAAACTATTCCAGGTTTTGCAGACCAATCTCAACTCTGCTGTTGTCTGTGAAAGCAGCCTTAGGTGATAAGTAAATGAGTGGGCATGTCTGCATCCCAATGGAACTTTACTTACAAAAACGGGCAGTCAGCCCTAGGGACATAGTCTGCCAACCACTGAATTCTAGATCATCTCTGCCTCTACACAAGACTGTGTTATTCCAAGAACTGCTGGATTTCCTGAAGCTTCTATGTGTTATGGGTCAAAGGCAGGAGTTAAGGGGAGACCCCCAAAACATCTCGAGCCCCTGTAGGTGCCTGGCCTCTTGGCTCTGATTTCAGGACTGTCACATCCTGGACCAAAGGGGACCCAGTGTTCCTACTTCCCTATCTCAGTAAAGCCAATTACAGTCCTCGGTGGTTCAAGCCTCCAGAGCAGCTCCTAAAGCAGTCATTGTTTTGGTCAAGTGCTCACCACCAGGGCAGGAAATTTCTCATCTGCGCATCCCACTCACCTCCTCTGAAAGGCTCCTTGATAGTTCTAAATGTTTCCCTTGGGGAGGGCGGAAAGGCCAGTGTCTGGGGTCTGGGATTTATTTCTTAGCCAAGGACATGGCCTGCAGGGATTCAGTGAAATACCCAGAATCCTACCCACAATTTCACGTTTCTGAGATTATCTGCATCTTTCAGTGGGACAGTCCCTAACTCTCATCAGCTTCTCATAACTCCCCCCTTCAAAGGCTAACAACACAGCATTAACACAAGGCTGTAACTAAAAGCAAAATCAGATGTCAACCAGTTGATTCTGACTCACAGCGACCCCGTGAGTATCAGAGTAGAACCGCGCTCCGTAGGGTTTTCAATGGCTGTGATCTTTCAGAAGCAGATCGCCAGGCCTTTCTTCTGAGGCACCTCTGGGTAGATTCAAACCACCACCCTTCTGATCAGTAACTGAGCACTTAGCCATCTACACCACCCAGCGTCTCCACAGGTATTCCTGATCCACTCCCAGAAGGAATTCTTCAGCCTTCACTTGGGTCATTCAGTAACTCCACCCAGACCAAGGATGGTTTTCGCTCCCTCCACCCTAGGTGGTGTGCCTCCCCCCCGCTCTTTAGGGCCCACTCAGGTTAGAAGGTTCCAGGGCAGCCCAGAGCACCACGCCCCTCGTGGCCCGACACAGAGAGCACCGTACCAGTCGGAAGATGTGGATGTCTTGGTTTCTGGTCACCAGATGTGCATTCTTTGCTGTGCATGTCGCTGTCTCCAGCTTGTCCCCTGTCAGCATCCAAACCTGAAATTACGGCATGAAAGAGGTCCTGTTAGTTTTTGAGGCCAGCCTTCGAGTGCGTCAGCTAAGTTTCCAAGAACATCGTGCTGAACTCACTATGTTCCGTTTACCTCCTTGAGAACCATTGGTGTTCCCAGCACACCACAGGAAATGCCCTGCTTCAAGCACTTCAAGACCCCGAGTTCACCATGCCAGGGGTGGCCAAAGCAGGCAGGACGATTCCAGAAAGCCATTTGGCGGGCACTTTGGGAGCCTTATGAAGCCCACAATCGTTAAAGCAAGGAATAATCCGAAAGAAGGGGAAAGCTGTGTGCATGAGGGGTCTCCTCACTGTCCTACGGGAAACACTGATGTGTCAGATGCTTCAGACAGGCTCTCATGCGGGTTAAAACCGCATAGGAAACCCTCTCAGTAAATGTGACCACTTCTTCAACACCTTATACCAGAGAATTTCATATTTCACCACTCTGGGCTTAGAGAGGGTCAGGGACTTGCCCCAAAGCCACACAGGCCCAGAATCTGGGTCTTCGGCGTCCATGCGGAAGGCTTCCTGCTCCACTATTTTACGAATGGGCCCATTTAGCCTCTGCTCCAGCAGGGAGGAGTGGGCAGTAATGGGACAAAGGACATCTTGACAGTGGGGGAAACACAGGAGAGACAGTAACAAGCACTGTCTCCCACAGCATCTAAACGCTGTCCACATTCACACGCCTTCTATCTTCACGATTACTTTCTGAGGCAGGAAGCTAGGCACTGTGCCGTCAAGTTATTTGCCAAGGGTCAGAGACATAGTTAAGCAGAGAGTTGGGTTCGAAGCCGGGCAGGAGGATGCCCAGAACGAAGGCTGGTCACAGCTGGGGGGTTGCGCCTCCCGGGCCATCTCCTCTGGGTGTGACCCTCGTGCGTGTCTGACTCTTCCCTCACTACCCCGTCTGGCCTTAGAAGACAATACTCCTTTAAACAGCCTAGTTTCATAGCGATTTTCTGGGCTGGATGTAGGAGAGCAAAGCCTGGGAAAGAAGCTGGGAGGAGCACGTTCTAGAAAACCACGGACAGAGCTCTCAGGGGCACCTCGCAGTTCATATCCCACGTTGGGACAACAGGAAGAGCCTACGGGTAAGTGACCAGGTGCTTACAGGTACACCCAGGTAAGCGCCGTTCCCAGCACCAGCTCAGCCGCTTCTGTGTGTGAACCTGGGGGTGTGAAGCTAACTCTCTCAGCCTAGCTGCTGCATCTGCAAAAGGGGCTAGAGGAGAAAACTTCCAAGTTCTCACATCTTACGAGCCTGTGAAACGCCATACCTTAGACCCTCATTACAAACTAACTTGGCCCAACACCAGAGCTCACATCTACCATGAGGAGCCAGAAGGAGAGGTCAAGTCCACACGACAGGAATAAAATAGTTCATCTTTTGGAAACAAGGGTTTGGAGACAGAGAAGAACCCCAGGACAAAGCTGGAAGTGAAAAACGGAATCTCCAAAACTTCAACAGGAGAGGTCTTAGCAACTGCCAGAGCCAGATTTTAACCCCCAAAACACTGCGAAAATGGGCCCTCCCTCCACCAGACCGTTCTTACACAAATGGGGTCCCTCTAGCTATTTCTCTGTAATGACCTAGGCCCAGGAGCCAAAGGTGGATAAAAGAATCTGGTTTACAAGGTAACGTGCACACACGTGTGACCCCGGAGTTCACTGACTACCGCAGGTTGAATCCAACCTGCTCAGATGGCCCTGCTTAGGGACAGGCATGTTTGCCAACTGCAGGCCCAAGGGTGCAGCCAAGAGCTACTTTTGGGTGGAGGCAGGTGGCAAATATGCATCTTTTCAGGAGCTCCCAGCCAGTAAGTTCTGAACGAACTTTTATTTAGAAATTCAGTTTGCCAACGTGTTGCTGGAGTCCATGAAAATATAGCCTGACCTTCAGCACCCTCTGCTGGCCTCTGATTAAACTACTGGATATATACATACACTCATTAGTTACCTTCCAGTCGATTCTGACTCATAGCGACCCTATAGGAGAGACTAGAACTGCCCCACAGGGTTTCCAAGGAGCGGCTGGTGGACTCAAACTGCCAACCTTTTGGTCAGCAGCCATAGCTCTTAACCACTGCACCACCAGGGCTCCGCCTATATATCCAAAAAAAAAAACCCCACTACCGTCGAGTCAATTCCGACTCATAGCGACCCTATAGAACAGAACAGAACTGCCCCATAGGGTTTCCAAGAAGTGGCTGATGGATTCGAACTGCCAACCTTTTTGGTTAGCAGCCGTAGCTCGCTGTAGCTCTTAACCACTGCGCCACCTTACACACACACACACAGATAATATATATATATAGTTGTTGCTGAGAAGGAGCCCTGGTGGTACAATGGTTAAGAGCTTGGCTTCTAACTAAAAGATCAGCAGTTCGAATCCACCAGTTGCTCCTTGGAAACCCTATGGGCAGTTCTGCTCTGTCCTATAGGGTCGCTATGAGTCAGAATCGACTCGACAGTGACGACTTTGCTTTCTTTTTTTGGTTGTTGAGAACATACACAGGAAACCTACGCCAATTCAACAGTGTCTACAGGTACAGTTCAGTGACATTCATTACATTCTTCCAGTTATGCAACCATTCTCACCCTTCTTTTGCGAGTTGCTCCTCCCCCATTAACATAAACTCACTGCCCTCTAAGTTCCCTAATCTTCCGAGCTGCTGCTGTTAATCTGATCCCATATAGATGGATCTTAAAAGAGCACAATGTTCAAGACAAACTTTTTTTTTTACAGTTAAGCTAAACTATTGTTTGCTTTTAAGAAGACTTGAGGGGATATTTTGGGTTTAAGGTTTATGCTTCCCCTACTATCAAGAACTAGATGTTGCCTGACTACCATTACTGAATATTTTGCTCAAGGATTCTATAGAGGAATCTTGATCAAAAGGGGGCAAATGCAGAACAGAATTTAAAATTCTCATGGACTCCAGACTTTCTAGAGCCATGGAGGCTGGATGAACCCCTGAAACTACTGCCCTGGGTATGTATTTTTCGGCCCCAACAGTAGAGAACACAAGGTAGATGTGGCAGTTTATTGACACAGGCGGTCAGTCCACTGGGTGGGCAGTCACTCACTCACTAGGTCAGACTGACAGACAGCTGGCCAACAACTGTGTAAGGAACACCCCGCATGTCTGGACACTGCTTGGTTCTGAGGGAGAAGGCAGACACAGGCCTTGCCTTCAGGAGCTGAGCACAGTGAGGGAGACAGCTAGCAAACGCAAACAGATAAACAAGATGCCTACAGAAACGAACAGCGTTGTAAAGACGCACAGATGGGGAGTGGCCTATTTTAGATAGCATTGAAGGTCGCTGCCCATGCATGCCCCACTCCTGGCCCCCTCTTCTGGCTTTGACTGTCTCTTCTCCTTGAAATTTTTACACTTTGCTGAAGGGATATCTGGGATAATTCTGAAAAGGCATCTCCGTGCACCAGGCTGCTCTGGAAGGCTCACCGACCTTGATGCCGGCATTCCGCAGAGTCTCCAGCGTGGGCCTCACGTCTGCCTGCAGCTGGTCCTCCACGCCCGTCAGGCAGAGCAGCTCCATCTCCATCTCCAGGCTCTCGATCACGGTGGCCACCTTGAGGGAGCGGTCGTGCACGCTCAGCTTGGCCTGGACGTAGCGGGCCTGGGACAGACCAATGGACACGGTCACTGCTTTGGATGCAGAGATAGCAAGGCAGACCAACTGACACCACGAGTGGACTGGACTGTTCTTGATCCCACCACCCATCCTCACTCAGCCCCAATGTCCTGCAAGGTAGGGCGACCCCAGCAGGAGGGCTTCTCCTGAGCCCATAAACCCAGACTCGAGTTGGGCCAACTTGAGTTCCACTCTCCACTTTCCACTCACTGGCTGTGAGCTTTCCAGGAAGTTACTGAACTTCTCTGAGCTCCAAATTTTTTTCATCCATGAAATGGCAACAACAATCATAACCTCATCAGGTTGTTGTGAGGATTAAAACAACACAAACTCTTAAAAAACAGTGGGTTCTCCCACACGCAACACACACTTTGTCACCAAGAAGACTCTTGACCATCAAGTTTCCTAAAGACGAAGACCCACTGCCAAAGACCATTGACCCAACCCCTCTGTTTGTCCCCTCTTTATAATGCTAGAAAGATCTGGAAGAAAAAGAAAATTTCTATAAGCCAATTCAACGCATATGCTCTTAAAAGAGAAAGGAAGGTAGAATTTATCAGGGGTAGAGCTCTTGTTAAATAAAACCTTACAAAGAACCCAAACACATAAAAAGATATTCAGTTTGGGTCTGGTTGGAGCAGGTCAACAGCCCCAGAAGCATGTCCTCCCAACCCTGTCCTCCTTTCCCTTTCATTCATTCATGCATGCATTCGACTTTCTACCAGGCACAAGGGACACAGCAGTGAATAAAACAAGGACCCCCACCCCGGGAACTCACAGTCTATGGGAGGAGATGACAATAAACAAGTAAACTAATGAATTTATACTTGAACCCTTAGTCATGAAAGGCAATAGCCTAGTTCAACATTTTTTTACAGCTTAAAGAAATTAGGGATCAATGATGGTGGTTAATTCATCCTCTAATCAAATTTTCCAGAAGGTACACTATATGCCAAAGACTAACCTGAACATTGGCGATATGAGAGCAAATTCGACTGATAAGGTCCCTGACCTCAAAAAGATCTTATTCCAGAGGGGAGATGGATAAGAATGTGGAAATATAAACAAGGTCATTATAGACTGTGATAAATGCAATGAAGAAGGTTAAGTGGGGTGATGGGTGGAGAAGGGTGGTATGGGACTACCTTGGACTGGTAGTCCTGGAAGACTTCTCAGAGGAAGCAACATTTCAGCTGAGACCCACAGGAAGCAGGGGAGTGGGCCATGGAGCTCTATGGAGGAAGAGCATTCCAGGCAGAGAGAAGAGCAAGCAAAGGCCCTGACACAAAGTAAGCGTGCGGTGCTCAAAGAACAGAAAGACGGGTGGGACGAGATGTGCCTGGGGAGGCAGGCAGGGTTGTAAACATAATGCAAGGGTGACAGCACAACTTACTTCAAAGTCTTGATACTGCTCCTCGGCCAGAGACTTCTTCGCCACCACGAGCACCCGCAGCCCTTCTCGTGCCATGTTGCCACACTGCAAAGCGGACCACAGTCAGCAGGAGCTATGCTGAGGCCCTGCCTGAGACCCAGACTCTCCCCGAGTAGGGACTGGATCCTGTCGCGGACATGCCCTTTCCAGGGGGTAGAGGGAAAACGGCTGTCCCCAAAAGCCATCTTCCCCGGAAACAAACCCTCTAAAGGGGAGGCTGCGAAGTGGCAGCCCGAGGGCCGAATGTGTCCAGAAACAGGCGTTCTTTGACCAGCACAGCGTATGTTTTGATATTTAAGTCAACACCGCAAGAGTTTACATAAAAATACGCACTTCTAGCTTTGCTGGTAGGAAAGAAAAACATCTGACAAGACCAGGTGTACTTGTCCAAATAACAACAGTGACAGCTGAGAAGTGGCTGCGTCTCTGTGTTTCCAGAAAACACAGTTGCCAAGTGAAGAATATTCCAATGTGTTTAACGTGCCAAGTGTGATGGGGTCAGAAGAACACATCTGGGCCTGTTTCATTCATTCGCGTTGCCTGCCTAGAAACCCCCTATTCAAAAACAATCTTACTGAAAGGAATATGTGGACCCCGCCCCCACCCCTGGAGCTGAGGCATGAAACAAAAATGGCCTGATACACCTGGGAGTCCTGCCCACTGAGACCCTGCTGCTGTCCAACTCTCCACGTTTGAAGCTGTAGTAGACAGTTTCTCAGATGGCCCCCAATGATCCCTGCTCCTGGTATTCACACTCTGTTAATCCCCTCCCCATGAGCGTGGGCTGGGCCTAGTGACTTGCTCATAATAGACAGAATGTGGCAAAGTGAGGGAATGTCGCTTCCAAGATTATGGAAGACTATGCCTACCATCTTGCTCACCCTTTCCTGCTGCCTCACTTAACTCACTCTGAAGAAGCCAGCTGCCATGTTGTGAACTGCCCTATGGAGGGGCCCACATGGCAAGGAACTGAGGGTGGCCTCTAGCTAACACCAATGAGGGCTTGAGAGGCCCTTAGTCCAATGGCCCGTGAGGAACTAACTTCTGCCAACCACTTGAGTGATCTTGGAAGTAAATCCTCCCCCAGTTGAGCCTTGAGTTGACCGTGCCTCCAGTCAACAATGACTGCAGCCTCTGAGGGACCCTGAACCCAAGGCACACAGTTAAGCTGTGCCTGGGTTCCTGACCCAGAGAAACTGAGAGATAATAAGTGTTTGTTGTTATAAGCCACTAAGTTTTGGTGTGGTTTGTTGCACAGTCATAGATAACTAATACAGAGACCCACCTCACTATACCCCACAGACTGCCTCTTCTGAACACACTCCCACACCCCAGTTTTAACCTCTGCACCGTACTTACCTCCTCCTCCAGCCAGTCATTATACTGCACGATTCCAGCCATGACAACATCTGCCCCCTTCATGTAAAATGTAATTTCTCCAGTTGATTCATCCTAGAGAGGGAGCAGGAAGGAATGAATAACCGAAAGGAACACCCTCTTTCTGCTCCAATGCCCACTTCCCACGACAAAGTATACTTAACAGACTCAAATGTTTTTTCACTTGGCTGAAGATAAAAAGTGAGAGGGGGCCTCACCTTGGGGCAAAGGCCACCGAAAACAAGAAAACGCAAAGCATTTGGAAAATTGTTAAATGATAAAAGCAAGATCAGAAGGATGTGAGAGCACTGTTTTTAAAGTTATTACTATTCCAACAGGAAGGGACTCCCACGTTATAAGATCATTTTTAATTTATACATAGGACTACCAGTATCCCCAAACTGTGGCCTGCCCAAATGAATAGGGAAGATAATTATCTAGATCAGAGTTCCTCAGATCAGCACCACTGACATTTGAAGATGGATGATTCTTTGTGGTGGGGGCTGTCCTGGGCATTGTAGGATATTTAGCAGCAACCCTGGCCTCTATCCACAAGATGCCAATAGCACTCTCCCACAGCTGTGACAACTAAAACTGTCTCTAGACACTGACAAACGTCCCTTATGGGGAAAACTGCCTCAGCTCAGAACTGCTGATCTAGATAATTCAAAACCTCATGTCTATTTGAGGACTTGGCTAGAGATCACATTACCCAGACTTAAAGTTCATTCCAACTAGATTCTGTATGTTATGGGTATATAACTACAGCATAGGGATTAAATGCGCAGACAGGGTACCGGCTCCCAGCTGTGATAACTTGGACAAGTTATTTCTTTTCTCGAAACCTCAGTTTCCTCATCTGTAAAATGGGGACACTAACAATTCTTACCACATAGGCTTGCTGTGGCTTACACGTGGTAATCCACACAAAGTATTTAGCACAGTACTAGAGACACAGAAAGTACCCATTTGCTGTTAGGACCACTGATATGAAGATAGTAACTCCCCAAGTCCCTCAGTCACACTGTATGCGGAAAGGCTTAGATGGTGGTTCTCACCTGAGGGGTGGTTTTGTGCCCTCAGGGGCCATATGGTGATAACTGGAGACATATTGAAGGAGCCCTGGTGGCACAAGAAGCACTTGGCCACTAACTGAACAGTTGGGAGTTCGAGCCCATGAGCCGCTCTGCGGAAGAAAGATGTGGTGATCCACTCCCGTAAAGATTACAGCCTGGGAAACCCTACGGGCCAGTTCAACTCTATTCTATTAGGTCGTTATGATTTGGAATCGACTCAATGGCAACGAATTTTGGTTTGGAGACATATTTGGTTGTCACAACTGGGGGAGAGGGTGCTACTGACATCTAGTGGGTGGAGGCCAGGGATGCTGCTAAACATCCCACAAGGCACAGGACAACCCCCCTACAACAGAGAATTAATTATCCAGCCTAAATGTCAATCGTAGCATGGTTGAGAACCCTGGCTTGGAGGAATGATGGCAGAATTGCTGTTCTTACCCCACTCTCCTCTCAATGGCCCCAAGCCATGGGGAGGCTGCAGGTAGAAGAGATGGGAAAGCAAACAGGGCACAGCCACCAACACTTTGTGCCTGAATTTGGCTACTCTGAGAAGCCCATGATAAACCCCTGTAACCTCTTCATGGAAAAAGAAATACCCAAAGTCAAATTAGGGGTAGAGTTCCCTCTTCTAAAATAACTTCCAAATGCCCTCTAATCACTGACAATCCTTTAGAACAACAACTTATTCATGAACACCCCTTGGGCCGAGAAGAGGCATCTGCAGCTGAAGTGTCTAACTGCACAGCTTTTCTTTGATGGATTTCTCCTATGCTGGCTGTGGCTCGGGCCAAAGATAGCTGTGGGGTCTGAACACGAAAGCAGCGGCGTTTTTTTCTTTTCCCCTTCACCCAAATGGCGTTCTACATCATGGCAGTAGGAAACAACCTCCCTCCCTGCTTCCTTCACAAGAGAAGGGTCTCGAGAGACTTTAGACATTTTGTCCAATATAAATACTGTATCCACTGTCTCCTCCCATTAGTCACTTCCTCCCACCAAGTTCATCACGGGGTTGCTTCGTTCCCATATTACGGCAAGATCACTCTATAAATTTACACAGCGAGTGGCCAGTTGGGTTGCATTGTTGTGGGGTTTCATCTTTTTCCACCGAGGTCTGACTCTGGCACCTGTTCAAAGGCCTCTCTAACTCAAGCAATGACAATGGTGTGATCTACACCAAAGGCCTGACTTCATCACCCCACGTGGGAAGAGGTGGGGGGAGGGCAGTGGAACAGCTTGTGCACGACAAGAACAAAAGGGGCGACACAACTTCCCTTCAAAAAGACGAGAACACGGGGCCCAAAGACAACGCTTTCCTGATCTCAGCGACCTTTTTAGAAGACAGAGCCACGCAGAGAAAAGGCCTTGTACCACGTGTATAAGAAGATGCTGCCAGCTGCGTGGTGCATGAGGTCACCCATGTTTAGAAAGGTTGGATGAAACAGACAGGTGAGAGCAAAACCACTAACTGTCAACAGTTGCTAGACCAAACGCAAAGAAGTTCTACACCTGAGCTAATGTCCTCACTTCAGGTAACCGGACACTTCCTTTCAGGTAAGGGGGGTTATATGAAGACATCAGAGCCAGGGTTCTCAGCCTCGGCACCATCAACATTTGGGCCAATGAGTCTTTGTTGCACACTGAAGGATGTTTAGCAGCACCCCTGGCCTCTACCCACTAGATGCCAGCAGCATCCCCACCCAGGTTGTGACAACCAAAAATGTCTCCAGACATTGCCAAATGCCCCCTGGGGGCAAGATCACCTCACTGAGAACCGCCACATTAGAGGGGTGAAGTGAGATTTATGCAAAGTGGAGAACTAGTCCAAAAGCCCTGGTGGCTGATTTCCACCTGCCCAAACCAAAGATAAAGAGGTAGACAAGATGGAAAATGAGAAAAATTATATACATTCATAACTATAAAATTATAAGCAAAATTATACACATTTCAGTACAGACAGCCTAGCAATGATAGACATTCATAGAATTATTTTTAGGAGTGAAAAATTATTTTGTTGTTGTTAGGTGCCGTCGAGTCGGTTCCGACTCACAGCGACCCTAAAGGACAAGGTAGAACTGCCCCATAGGGATTCCAAGGAGGAGCTGGTGGATTTGAACTGCCAACCTTTTGGTTAGCAGATGAGCTCTTAACCAACTACGCCACCAGGGCTTCTATAAACAGCCTAAGTATCCAAAACAAAAAAAGAACAGTTAATTAAATAATGGTACATTCTTTCAACAAAAGACCATGCATACGTTAAGAATCATGTTTTAATGACATGAGAAAATTTTCACCATACATAGTTTGATAAGGTGGGGAAAGGTTAGAAAGCCTTATATAGAGTTGGATGCCAATTTTATAAAAATGCCTCATATATGCTTGGATAAAAGAATGGAAGGAAATTCCCTGAAAAGGTAACAGTAGCTGTCTTTGGGTGGTGAAAATAAAGAGTTTCAGTCCTCTTCACTATACATTTGTTTGTTCCAAATGCCTTAACCATGAACGTGGATTATTTTTATAACCAAGGAATGGAGGGAGGATGTTTTTAAATAATGACACACTTATCCATTTGCATACAGTGCTTCAAGCACACAGCCCCTGTTCTTAACTGTGGGCAGCAGACATGGGACCATGGCTCATAAAATACGACGCATGTCTGGGAATGAGTGTCCTTTACAACTATCTGAAGGGTGGTGTGTACCACTCACTTATTCCAGAATGGCTGATATCGGCCACTATACGGTGATGAATCAGCCCTCAAATGACCTCAGCAGAGCCCACAGGCCTACAACTTGAAAAATAAAGGCTGGAACAAAATTAAAGCAATCCCATAGTAGATAATGACTCTAATTCCCTAGGAAACACCCACCCACAGGATTTATGCTGCTGTTTCCAGACCACGGATGTTCTTAACATCAGATGTGTACTCAAGATATGGTTCAGACGCCATGGGTCAGGCCAGGTGTGGACCCAGGGGAAAGCAGTGGCCATGTGAGGGGAAAGCTCCCTCCCCACCCAAACGCTGCCAGGAATACACATCCGGGAGAGTCTGAAGTGCCTCCTGGCATCTGGATAGAAAAACCCCTTAAAATGTGTCATTTTCAAAGCATGTTCACATCACTTCTCTCTGGATCGCAAGAACAGCAGCCCCTGGAGCTGCCTCTGTCTTCTACCTCTGAACTGGCTCCCGGTGATCCTGCCTCCTGGTACCCACAACCTGTACAGCCCTCTCCCCTGGAGTAGGGGCTGGACCCAGTGACTTGCTTCTAATAACAGAATAAGGCAAAAGGAATGGATGTCACTTCCAAGGTTAGGTTACAAAAGACTGTGACGTCGGGCTGGCTCATGCTCTCTCTCACTCTGACGAAGTCAGCTGCCCTGTGAGCTGCCCTGGGGAGGGCCCACATGGAGAGGAACTGAATCCTGCCAACAACCACTGGTTGTGCCTGGAACTGGCTCCTGCCCCAGCTGACCTTTGGGTGTCTGCAGCCCCAGCTGACACCTTGACTGCAGACTTGAGCAACCCTGAGCCAGAGGCCCCAGCTAAGCCACACCCGACTCCTGACCACAACAGCTGTGAGATAATAAATGTTGTTGTTTTAAGCCACTAAGTGTGGAGTCATTTGTTACTCAGTAACATATAACTAATGAGCTACCCCAACATTACAGATGCTCTATGAGCTTTTCAGCCTCTCTCCTAGCACAGCTGAATGCCCCGGTCCTAGTGGTAAAGAACATGGACTTGGGAACCAGAGAGCTGGGACAGAATCCTAGCTCCACCATTTTCAAGCTGTGTGAACTTGGGCAAGTTTCTCAGCCTCTCTGTACCTCAATTTCTCCTCTGTCAAATGACAATCATAATGGTACCTACCTCACTGGCTTATGGTGAGAATTAAATGCGTTCGTTTATGTAAATCACTTAGCACAGCACCTGACACACAATAAACACTATTTAAATGTTGCCTATCATTATAGCTACTGTTGCTCCTATTGTTACAATTATCAATGCTGCTGCCGCTGCTACTACCACCACCACCACTCCCACCCACTACCCTTGAATCATTTCCAACTCATAGTGACCCCATAGGGTCTCCAAGGCTGTAAATCTCTACGGAAGCAGACTGCCACATCTTTCTCCCACAGAGCCACTAGTGGTTTTGAACCACCAACCTTTCAGTTAGCAGCCAATCACTTTAAACCACCACCACTATTGCTAGTAAATTGGAGCTTCCTCAGACACTAAAGTTACTGTGTAAATAATCAAGGAGAAGATTAATGAAAATCTAGAAGAGCTAGAAAAAGTTGTGGTTTTTTTTAGTATCTTTTTTGATAGCTTCCCTAATATAAAAAAATAACCGGGCATCACTGTTAAGCCCTGTTTAATTCAGCACTTAGGCACAAGTGCTAGACACAGGAGACACTGGGATGAACAAAATTATCCTAGTCCCTGTCCTTACTGTCCAGTAGAAAAGACAGACATTGAACAAGTAAACCCACAATAAAGAAAGAATTGCAGTATGTGATAGATGTCACAAAGAAAAATGCTACAAGAGTTATCTGAAGTCAAAGAACTTGTAAAGCTGAAGCTGACGGGCCAATCACTGGCTAAAAGTACCCTATTGGCAAGAAGGGACACAGGGCCACATGCCCAACAGCCTGCATGTCAATTTCTACTTTTACTAATTTACTAAAATAGAATCTATAACTGTTCCATTCCTAAGACATGAAATACTTGGGTAGATGTGAGTGGAGGGGATCCTCATTTGTTTAAAAGAAAAAAAAACTAGAAGATGAGTCTTATTCCAAAGATTCCCATGATCTGAGGGAGAGTTCCCCCCAACCAAGCCAAATAACGTGGAAAACCTTAAAAATATCAGGGAACTATCCCAATATCAAAATAGGTCTGGGATGAAACCAAGTAATCTGTAGTTTAAAAACTTCCTTGATAATTGTGATAATATGCCAGGTTTAAGAACTACTGAAGAAAGTGGCATATGAACAGCTTTTTCAGGGTTCCCAGAATGGAAAGTGTAATTCTCTCATGGGTAAAAGAGCAAATAGAAAAATAAAATATTAAATCAGACTCTTTGGATAGGCAAATTTTTAAAAAGCCTGACAATATCAAATGTTGATGAGGATGTGGAGGAACAGGAATGCTTGTGTACTGCTGTTGAGACTGAAGTTATCATAACTACTACTTGAAGAAAAAGTTGCTGATTCCTGGTAGAGATGAAGATGTGTATATTCTCAAACCAGGCAACTCAACCTCTGGGTACACTCTGTAGAGAAACATTCACACAGTGTTTCCCTGCAAAGGAGACTGGAAGAGACAAGGCTGTGCACAACAGTGTGGCTTCTAATAGCAAACAAGTGGCAGCAACCTAAATATCTATCAATAGCATTATGGATTAAATGTGTCCCCCAAAAATATGTGGTGTAAAATCTATCCTCTACGCCTGTGGTTATAATCCCATTTGGCACCGTGCTATCTTTGTTATGTTAATGGACAGGATTAGTGTAGGGTGTATCTCAAGTCAATCTCTTACAAAATATAAAAGGGGCAGATTACAAAAGCAGAGATGGGGGAAGATAGATTCCAAGCCACATGGAGATCTCCAAGGAACCAGGAAACAGAAGCCAAAGAGACAAGGACATTCCCCCAGAGTTGACAGAGACAGAAAGATTTCCCTAGAGCCAGTGTCCTGAATTTGGACTTCCAGCCTCCTAAACTCTGAGAAAATAAATTTCTGTTTGTTAAAGCCATCCACTTGTGGTATTTCTGTTATAGCAACACTAGATAACCAAGACAAAGAGGGAACTGGAATAGACCTCAACAAACAGAGGTATATGTATAGGATTAAATGTATGAAAATAAACAAGAAGTGGAATAAAAATGCATATACTATGACGCCATCTACATAGAGAATAAACACATGTAAAACCATATACGTATTGTTTATACCCAAACATGTCTGCTACGAGTACTTTAAAATTCCTAAGAATGATGAACTTGGAGTGGGGATGGACAGGAATGGCATCTAGGAAGGCCAGATGGGGCTTCTGCTGAACTCACCATGTTTCATTTCTTAAAAAATATCTTTTCAATACAACATATGCAAAACTATGGAGGACTCTCACACACATAAATTTGAGCAAATGAACCCAGACACAAAAGGGTATCCACTGTATTTTCCACTCATATCAAGTTCAAACACAGACAAAACTAACTAGTGGTAGAAATCAGGACAGTGGTGATATTTTTGCAGCGAGGGGGAGTGTGGTGGCTGGAAAGGGGCCGAGGGGCTTCAGGGTGATGGTAAGTCATGTTCTGTTCCTTGTTCTGGATGCTGGTCACATGGACGTGTTAACTTTGTGAAAACCTGAGCTGAACACTTAGAATGTCTGCACTTTTCTCTGTGTAAGTGTGATAGGTCAATAAAAGATTCAAGAAACACTTTTTAAAAATCTGAAACAAATCCGGCAACATGATGATGTTGGGCAATCATTTTTCTTGATAACTTTCTGAGCGCACAAATAAAGAACAATTCAAATTATTTAATTAAACCAAAGAGTACACAGTGAGATTGTATTAACGAGAAATGCCTAATCCATATTCATAAAACAGGGCTAGCCAGCGCTGGTCTGCAGTTTGCCCAATTGATGAACTGACATTCTTTCTGCTTTGGGAATTCCGTTCCCTGGTTAGTCTGGGCAACAGATTCCATAATGAAGAGGGCTACAGAGGGGTAAGAGAGAATGCCAAGTCACAGGGAGGGGCATACACAGCAGACTTGGGAGGTTTAGCCATTTTCAGTCATGAACAAAAGACCACTCACCCTCACAATGATGCCCATGCGCTTGCTTTCGTAGGTAAACGGGAAGATCTGCAAGATGGTGAAGTTCAGGATCTGGTCGCCAGGGGTCCTCAGCTGCATGGAAGACTGGTCTCGGCCCACCAGCGTTAAACCCACGCTTTCCGTCCACTGTACCAGGGCCACCTAAATACAACACAGGGTTGAAGGTCAGACATGTGGCCGAGGGTCCCGGTTCACAGGTCACACAAATGAACACGAAGGCAGCAGGGGTAGCAGCAACAGGTGAAGAGCAAGTAGTCACATCTGTCACTGGGGTTGGCCAGGGCTTTGGCCCATGAGACTCGAAGCCATCACTGCTTCCCTGGCCGGGGACAGTACACTCCTCCAGCCCTGTGAGGGCTCGGTATGAAAAGCTGCCCCCACGAAGTACAACCTATCTTCTCTTCCCAGCCCAAAAGCAAGAGGCACACGAGAGCATGGCAGCCAAAGGCAGGGCAGGATTAAGAACGGTCAAGCGTTTGGCAGAGTCCTGGTGGCGCAGCGGTGAAGAGTTCGGCTGCTAACCAAAAGGTCAGCAGTTCAAATCCACCAGCTGCTCCTTGGAAACCCTATGGGGCAGTTCTACTCCGTCCTATAGGGTCACTATGAGTTGGAACTGACTTGACAGCAACGGGTTTTGGGTTTTTGAAGCGTTCAGCTGCTAACCAAAAGGCTGGTGGTTTGAACCCATCCAGCAGCTCCGTGGGAGAAAGACCATCTGCTTCCATAAAGATTACAGCCTAGAAAACCCTAAGGGGCAGTTCTACTCTGTCACATAGGGTTGCTATGAGTCAAAAGTGACTTGATGGCACCCAATAACAACACAACCACAGATAAGTTGTGGAAGAATGTGTACCAAGCAAAACCACAAAACTGAAGCACAAATACAGGGGAAGAAAGAGTGTGACTGTTGCAAACTTCACCTTCCGCTCGCCTTTAAGCCTCACAAGCACTCTGCAAGGTGGGTAGCTACAGCAGTTCTCCAGGGGGCAATTCTGCCCCCCAGAGGACACGTGGCAATGTCTGCAAACATTTGAGACTGTCACAACTGTGGAGTGGGAGTGCTACTGGCATCTAGTAGGTGACGGTCAAGGGTGCTGCAAAACATCCTACAATTCCCTGGACAGCCCCCCACAACCTCACAACCAAGAATGATCTGGCCCCATATGTCAACACTACCGAGGTTGAGAACCCTGGTCTGTACAGAGAAAACCGAGGCTCAGAGGATTCTGCCATCGAATCCCGGGTGTCGTCTTGGTTAGCCTGCTACATCCTGAAGGGGAGGCACCATACTGGGGTTCCCAGCCTGGCTCTACCAACAACCCTCTCTCCCCGCAGGGCCTCTATGAAATAAGGGACTTGAATTAGATGACTTCTCGTTTCTGTTCTGACTCGAAAAATGTATTTTTATACATTGTTAGTGACCTCTAATCAGATGTCTAATTTGATTTCTGTTGCTGATTTTAATGGAATTTACATCAGTGAGAAGTTCTTTTTCAAAAATGGGAGGCTCTGTCCTGTTCTGGAGTCCCCAGATGGAACAAATGGTTAATGTTTGACTGCTAACTGGAAGGTTGGCAGTTCAAGTCTACCCAGAGGCCTCTGGGAAGACCTACTTCCGAAAAATCAGCCATTGAAAACTCTATGGAGCACAGTTCTACTCTGACACACATGGGGTCACCATGAGTCTGAATCTATTTGCGACAACCAGTTTTTGGTTTTTTTTTAATCCCGTTTTAATTAATGTCATAACCAGTCAACCAGGATTAGTTTTAACTAGCTTTCTACTTTGACCAATGAAAGAAATCATTACACTGACCTCCAACTTTCAAAGAAAGAGCTAATCAACTCATGATTTCTTCTTTTACTACCAGCCTGCGTTTAAGTCTTTGAAAACTCATTCATTCATTCATTCGTTTAATTCAATGACTATGACTTTCAATGTGGCCTGTATAGTCTGCTAACCATTTTTTTAGAAGTTTAAAATTAACACATCAGTGAATATCTGTATATACAAAATACTCCCATCTGTATATGTAAAAAAAGCTTGGGTATGTGCATAAAAATGTCTGTAGGGTGATATACATGAAAGGAAACCCTTCCTGCTTTTACTTGTAGCTTTCTATACCACTGAAATATTTTTAGCATGTGCATTCATTTCTTTTACTTTTACTTTTAATTATGTAGATAAATACTCCAACAGAATTCAAGATACACAAAAAACCTAGGTATAAACATGCCAAAAAAGCTTGACTAGATTTACACCCTTCTTTTTATGCAATTTAGTAACAAAGGGAAAGAGAAATTCTCCTTTGGATGCTTCCAAACATTACTGTTATTGAAAGAATTGTTTTCATTATTGTTTTTACTCTTTAATAACCTATTTAATTGTCCTGAAAAGTCTGTGACATTGGGCTTCGAGGGGATATACTCAAGAATTCCCCCCAAAACATGCTCTTAACTTCAACAGAAGGAGCCCTGGTAGCACGGTGGTTAAGCGCTGGGCTGCTAACCAAAAGTTCAGTGGTTCAAGCCCACTAGCTCCTCCGCAGGAGAAAGATGTGGTAGTCGGCTTCCGTAAAGATTACAGCCTTGGAAACCCTATGGGGCAGTTCTACTCTGTCCTATAGGGTCACTGTGAGTTGAATCAACTCGACAGCAATGTGTTTTCTGAGTAACATCAACAGACAAAGAATCTGAACCTCCAGAACCGGGAACAGTTTCCAGGGCTAGGGAGGCAGTTTGGGGTTAGCTAGTCCAGCCCCCCAAAGCGTGGACCCCACAGGACTGTGGGAGAGAGAAGTTGAACAAAAAAATCCCAAGTGATCAAAAGTGACAAATATCCCTGACGAAGGGAGAATTACAACTGTTTGTAAACATTCTTTAATTGTTTTTTCTTCCACTGCAAACCTCTCCATAGAGTTAAGGAACCTACTGCCTACTATGGTTTACTGTCCCCACCCCCATCACTGTGGGTCCAACATCCTAATCAAAACCTCAGCAGTCTCGTTGGGGGTTATTCAAACAGGATATGAGCCCCGAGGGGGGTCTTTCATTCCTGCCTTCCACTCTTGTACTCAACTTTAACATATGTTGGTGTTAATTTACAGCTACTTTCTAACAGAACCCATATCATCCCTGGGGGTCCTTCCTAGTGAGAGGGAAAATGGTTTCAGAACTGGGGCGCTCACTAATGCTTCTCAGTTTCGGCAGAGACAAACATTTGAGGGGTAAGTTGACACAATTGCATTCCTTTCCAAAACAAGATGGTATAAAGAAGGCTGAGGATTATTTGGGTGGTAGAAGCTTCAGTTCAAAGGAATCATTCCATATCACAAAATTATAAAATGCCTTGAATCTCCCTGTCCTAAATAGCCTGAGTTGGGTCTCAGGGACCCTCGCGACAGAATATTCAGAGGTCAGAGCAGCAGCAGAATTAGAAACCTCATTAAGGTAAAAGAATGAATGAATACATTAGCGTTAACCAGATGAAATTCTGGAAACACAGATGGGGGCTGGCTGGGGGGGCGTCTCCTCTTATGAGTCTGTTGTGTGTCCTGGTTAGGGTCTAGAAAGAAATCAAAAGGACAGAGTATGCTACTTCCTTTCTTAAACCACCCATCTGAAGAATTCATGCCAGAAACCATCAATGAAAGGGCTTTTTCATCATCTGCTGGCCAGCCATAAACCACCTGTGACAAGTATTAATAATTTCCCCTTTGTACCTGGGAGTGCGTGCTTAGGAAATATGCCAGCTCATGTTAAAAAACCCTGCATTCTTGTCAAAGGCAGGATATATACTAATCATGAGAGCATGTATGATACCAAGATGGGAAACTGATAGCTGATTAAAAGGGTTCTTTGGTGGCATTCAATAAGATAAATACCCAGGCTCTCAAAAGGAGAAGCTGGTTACCCTTAATCCAGCCTTTCAAGATTATAAATCCATCCACAGACCTACGCTTTCTTTACTTAATTAAGAAATATACCCAGCACTGAGCCCCATGGTGGCTGCAGGTTCAAATGCTGAAGGGGGGCCGGGCAGGCCATGTGGGAGCTGTGGGTAAACCGTGCCAAGTCTAAAAGGGCAGCACCGCCCAGCTCAGCCAGCTGCTGAAATCAGGCCCTATTTCCAGATGTGATTTTTTGCTTCAAGAGAAGCTGATCTGTATGTAAAATTAAGTGATTTTTGAAAATTGCTTTGGTTTTTTTTTTTAATACAGCGTAAAGCAAACAGTGGACAAGATGATGGTATAAAAGGCCACTCCTTAATCAAAAGTTCTTAGATTCTGTACTCAAAATTCAGCCTTCCGTCCCACTTAACTCTGATAAAAATTAGCATTTGAGAATATTTTAGAATAGCATCATCCTCACAAAACTTTAGTTACTTTCCAATGATTATTTATTTAAGTCTATTCTGAGCCAGCACTAAGATGGCAAAGAACTTTTGCATCTATGGCCCAGGAATAAGCTGATGATAACTATTTTCTACGATGTCCCTAAACACACTGTCCAGCTCTGCCTTAAACAGCCACCACTCTCCTCTAAGCAACCAAAATTCTATTCCAAGATTCTATTCCACTGGTTAATAAATAACATTGATGGAGTATTTTTTCCTTAAGTTCCCGACCTCTGTTCCCCGCCCTTGCCCCCTGGGTCCGAGGGCGCGGCAATGTGATGTTAAAGCCCTGCCACCCCCTGAATCTCTCTGAGTCAACACTGCACAGCCATTTGTGCACATGTCTGAATGCTGTCATTGTCTGCAGGCCTGCAGCTGAGCTGGGGGCATACAGAGGCATTTAGGGGAACTGCGTGCACCTTATGTTCACTGAAATGTGAATGCAGCCATGAAAAACTAAAAAGCTCATGCTCCAAAAGGACTGGGAGGTGCAGGCCCACCCAGAGCCATGTGCTTGGTTTCCCCAGTTGTTCTCATACTCATGCTCAAGCAATAAGTTTAAGAAAGTGCAAAACTACTCCTTTGCCATGAGACCAGAAGAACTGGATGTCGCTCGGCTACCATAACTGAACATTTTGATCTGAAGATTCTATAGAAGAATTCTGATCAAAAGGGGGAAGACGCAGAACAGAATTTCAAATTCTCACGGAATCTAGACTTTCTGGAACCATCGAGGCTGGATGAA